AGGTAGATGAAGAAGAATTCTAAATTTCTATAAATTATATCTTTTACATAGATAGATTTGTGCTTGAATGTGCTAATTATATCAGGAATCTTTACCTATTAAAGGAGTTTCTATTTTTTATTATTTTGCAACCAAAAAGGCTATATTAAAAATAGTTTTACGAAAATTTATTATATTTTTTTATCAATGCTGTCAATATATTTAGCTTTCGATTCCAGATAATTAGAAATACATAGATTCTTATTGTATTTGTTTTGAATGATAAAAAAACAAGCAATAAGGATAAAAACGCAATCCCTTATCCGAAAACAAATATGGTGTCTATGTTCTAGCTTGTATAACATATTGTTTATGAATAAGTTATGAGATGTTTTGCTTAAATTTTATGTGGAGATGAGTCACGGATAAAAATGTATCAAGACTACTGTAGTATTAAATGTTAAACAAATGAAGAGATTTAGTCTAATTATAACAACTATACTATTCTGTAGAATAAAATAAATAAAATTGTAGTAAGTCTGTAAAATCAAGTATTTATTTAGTTTTAAAGGGATCTATTTACTGTAATACCTTCAATTTGTTTGATTAAAAAACGTTTTTATCATGATTTTTCCGAACTTTTCCTTCACGCTGGTAGTTCTCTAATGAATGTTAAGCTTTTTTTGCTCGCTTAAAATTCTCAAGCTATAAATAATTGCAGCGTATACAGAAAACTTATTTAAGAATCCAGTTGAACTAAAACTTTAAGAACTTCAACTTGTCCACGAAAATAGTACATAACTACGAAATATCCATAAAATCTGATTAGTCTTTAATATAAATATAAACGTTTTTATTGTAAGAGACAATGTCGTCTTACAGAAAGACAAAAAATATAATGTGTGTTTTTAAAATAGAAAGTCCAATATTTGTAAATTTTATACCTAATAATTTATAGTAACAGTAAAGTTATAGAAAATCAAAAAAGTGAGCTTGTAAAATATAATTCATTGCGAAAATATATACATATACAGAGTGACTGGTGAATTACTATCAATATTTAAGGAGAATACTCGGTACATGATTCTCATTAGAATTATGTAAAAAAATAGGTACTTAATTTTTGACCAACTTTCCGTATAAATAAATAAAGTGTGGACACGTTCCAAGTGTGGACGCGTGCGGCGGCGTGCTGATACAAAACCACGCCGCCGCACGCGTGTGTGTGTGTGTGTGTATACCTAATCTGTAGGGTGTTCACACGATGCGTAATTAATTACATAACTTTTGGTTAACTTTACTTAGAAGTTTATTAATATTTATGTTATATTAATTTTTATTTTGTCATATATGATCGTCAAATATCACGTCCTCAAGTATCGATAGTAATTCACCAGTCACCCTGTATATGTATATATGCGTGTGTGTGTATTTTCGTGTGGCATAGAACTTTATTTGTCAAACAATCCGATTGTTCTAGCCAAATATTTGATATGATAATCCGAATTTTGTTGATTTCTCCCATTAATGGAGGCCTTTACGTGTGTCTACTTATTATTTTTGTTTTAGTATTTTCATAATATACATCATATATAAGAATTTAATTAAAAGTACTGTCGAATATTATTGTATATTCCAGAGTTTTCCAATCTTCCATTTCCACATCGAGTACTCTTCTTTTTCCTATAGACTTTATACATATTATTACTGCATCCCAAAAATTTTTAAGTTTATGATACGAAAACTTCTCATCATTCAATGTATTCACCAACAAATCATCGACCAACACAATTTATATATGAGGGTTGGTATTTTATTTCTTTTAATACGATATAGTAATATAATGTATTCACCGTGCGGGTGTCGGGTCCATCGTTGTAGTGAGAGGAGCTTCAACAGTGACTGTGACTTGCGACCCAGGTGTAGGTTTAAGGGACCCCTATCTAACGCGCGTTAAACGCTCACCTCCACTGTCCAAGCTCCTCTTTCTACGTAATTATGAAAATTATACTGAATTACATAAAAAGTTGTTAAAAGTATGCACCTTACGAGTATTAATTATGAGTAACAGTCGCTAAGTTAGTCAAAATATTATATCATCTTTGCAAAGTGAGGTCAATTCAATATTTTAGTTTATACCAAATAAATATTCATTTTGATTAACTTAGACTCCTTGCACGTCCTGGACCATTTTTCGAATTAATATTTGAATATATAATTTTTTTGCCATTTACTTTCATTATTGGTCCATATTTTAAAACAGGAATCACTGTTTATTCTTTCTTATCTTATGTATCCTTTGTTTTATATTTTAAATCCTGTTTAATTATATAAAATACTTAGACCAAAATTTTGAAATAAAAAAATGTGATCGTCATGAAATCACGACGCAAGCGGATCTTTCAAAACACACAAATACCGCAGAGCAGTTGTAGGTACGTACAAATGACTGACAATATAAATGTTACTTATTTAACTACTCTACTACTCTCCTGCTCTGACTGTAACGCGACATGCGATAGATGGCCGCAAAAGTTTAATGCTATGTTATAAAACAAATATTATTACACACGAGACATTACAATTAAGAATTTCAAGGTATGTCTGTCTGATATAGCTTATTATTAAGTTAAGTATGCAAAAATATATGTATTACAATAACGCCTTTTAGAAACTGCAATATAACGCAATCGTTAAATTTATAAGTATGAATAAAATGTATTCTTTTATATCAAATCCGGAACAAGTAACAAATGTTTAGAAAAAAATATCTCTGACCCAAAATCTTGTTTCCCTTGAGGAACTTTATAAAGGATGTATTCCATTAGCTAAAAGTTTTTACAGAGCTTTCAGGAAATCTCAGAAAACATGGACAAATTAAATTAATTCACTAAAACGCGATCTTTAATAGTAATGATTGAATTTAATATAAAACCTTTTTTTTATTCAAATTATTTTAATTTACTATACGAGTATGACGTATGTTTAATCTATGTCGCGTCAACATTGCTTGGTTTATAAAAAAAATGGCGCCAAAAATTTTTTTTAATTTCAAATGACGATAGATTTCATTGGTATTATAATTAACGTATGTTTTTAATTTACATTTCATTACACGATAACGACTTAGTGTTTAACCTCGTATAGAACAAAACAGTACAAATATTTGAAAGCTTCGTATCTGGGTCGTGAGGGCGTCCTACGTCACGAGTGACGTCATCGCCCCACCCTCGACCACGCCTGAGCATACTATGGATTGTATAATCTGTTGCGCGGTATTACGCTTTAAGGAAATCCCTCTTTATGTTTCCGCTCAAATGAATTGTAAATTATTTGAACGAAAAATAAATTATTTATAACGTTTGAAAGCGTTTGTTTTATTAAAAGGACGTTACTCTGACGGTTTTAAATCAATAGATGATTCAAAGCTGCCAGTAATATTATATAAGCAGAATTATTTTATTGTAAAATATTGTTTTTACTGTCTTAAAATTATGATACATCTATTTAAAACATGAAAATTATAAAGAAATATATATTTTATTATGATCAATAATTCGTAACTTTGACAGTTAAAATTATTTACACCTTTAGCCTGAGAGTGTTGCCAAAACCATAATCGTTTATAACAAGTAGGAATCTCAATCGTAATTTTAATTGAATTATATATCGATTATTTTATATCTGATTCATTTCTAATAATAATGATGATTTAATATTTTGGATAATAACTTAGAATTTAATAGATCAGATATTAATATCAAGAGCATAATTAATATTCTGTCTGTTGTATATATACATATTTTTGTGTATAATAGTATGGACAAAGATTTTTTATAACAAATCCTTTATGTATAATGTTAAGATGTTCTTATTTCTTGTCATTAATTTCATATAAATTATTAATAAATCGTAAAATGGTTGAACCTATTTTAGATTAGAAAGATTGTTTTAGCATTAAATTTTTTTCGTTGTTTCTTTTTTTTGTGGCTTTCGTCCATGTAAAGATGTGCTTAGTATATTCTGCCAGTGTAGTGTAGAAAGGAGGAGATACTTTAAATAATTTTTCTATTAATCAAAGTTTTGATTGACTTGTCCAATGGAACTCTTAAGGACAGATATAGAAATATGTAGTCTTTCCACCATAGAATATTCTTTAAACTTGTGTTAAAAATATTTTGAATTTCTACTGATTCCAATAACTAGAAAATATTACAAGATCTTCCGAAATTATTTATATTTTCCCCATTTTGATAGCAATATATTAAGAGTGGCATTTTGCTTTTATAAAACCTCAGGAGCTTTGAAAACTTTCTGGTTATTGAAAGAAAAATGGCTGATAACTTTGTAGAATATAAATCATAAAGTTTCGTATAAAGATATATTTTGAATGTTCAGTTATATGCCTAAGCTTCTATCAAATCCTTGATCGATAACTACGTGAGCAACTTGTTAATTTCCTGGCAATTTCCAAGCATAATAATGCAATTTCCAAGCAATTTTCTCACCACGTCTAATTACATACGTAAATGCTAATAGATAGGCTTTAGAATTAATTGTTATATGCCTATTTCGTTACAATTAACAGGTAAATTGCTGTAAAGAAGAAGAAATTGCTTTTTGGTATTATAAATTCGTATTTATATTCTAACTAATTGAATTTAAACATCAACTCTAGTAACTTTTTTTTGTATCCATTACTTAGTTGGTCAAAGTTGATCGAATTATCCTCATTCTAAGTTAATTTCAATTCGTATACAACTATCAAATAATGTTTTTGGGGCCTTAAACCTACACCTGGGTCGCAAGTCCCAGTCACTATTGAAGCTCCTCTCACTACAACGATGGACCCGACACACGCACCGTGAATACATTGAATCCTGAGAAGTTTCATTAAAAACTGTCATCTCCTTTTGAGAAGACGTCTTTGCTCAGCAATGGGCTCTGATAGGCTGACGATGATGATGATGATGAAAAACTATCTTTATCTTCTATTTTAAGATCATTTATTTCCTTACTAGCTTTCCTCCCGCAGCTTCGCCCGCGTTGAGTTCGGTTATATCGCTTTCCAAGAAAACCTTTCAAAAGTCTGGGATAAATGCTATCCTATGTTCTTTCTCAAGGTCAACTCCACCTCTGTCCCAAATTTCATTAAAATCAGTTCAGTGGTTTAGGCGTGAGAGCATAACAGACAAACAGAGAGAGTTACTTTCGCATTTATAATATTATAGTAGGGATTTATTACTATTACATTAAAGTGATAATTTCAACCAATCGTAGACCTAACTGCTGCGCGCGCAGGTCTCCTTCGTACCGGGTCACCAAGCCTTCCCTGGATGTGGAAGCCCCTCAAGAGATCTTGGAGCCTGTACCCTCGTTCAAGGACAAAAAACCACAACTAAAAGGACCTCGCCCGCCTGTCGGTTCGAGCGTATCAGGTAAGAATACAATTTCAAAAGTATTTTCATTTAAAACCGATAGTTGTAAGAATCGAGTGTATTATTTTAATTTTGGTATAATTTTAATTGTTTTTATGTGTTTTTGAAACGTTGTAATAAATTTTTCTAAAGATTTAGTATGATAAAAGAAATTATATTACGAGTATAACTCATCACAAAATCCGTGCCTTGGTGATTATAATTCGAAATTTTTATTTAGATTAGAAATTTAATGGTTATAATAATTAAATATACAAAGTAAATGTAATGTAATTGTATCAAAAAAATAAACCTTTATTGACAGAAATATTAACATTTTCATAATAGGTCTTAAAGAAATTAGTTTTTTAACCTGTTTGTAGTGATTTTCTGTAATGGTTGTCAATTGTCATTTGCAACGAAGGTAGGAAAATAATTTTGGTCGGATTTTAGTTATAAAATATATTTCATTTTTTGTTTGCTTGTGTGTGTGCGTGTGTATAATATAACAAACTATTACCCTAAAAATGGATAGCCAAGTTTTTCTAATTGTTCTTAAAATAAAAAGTCGGAAGCAATTATTTTCAAATCAGTAGTGGCCAGATTTATATGTAGTTCATTGCTTGTCATTTTATACCTTCAATTATGTAGTGTAAATGTCTAAAGGTCAGTTGTATTTAAATAAAGATATACATAGCTTCTATTTTATTGAGTCCAATAGTCAATAGTCAATTAGGTACTGCTTAAAAATAAATAAGTACACTTTTTTGTCATTAAATAGAATAAAATCTCTTTGCGGTAGATTTTCTTTTTTGTTTTTCATTTTATTTATTTGGTTTAATTACAAACTTAAACGAAATTATAACACATGATCATTTGCAAATCATTCACTATTGTCATGTCAAGATATATATAGAATGCTTAAACATTTATCTTAATGTAAGTAATTTTAAATATGTTCTAGATTCCATATCGCTGTCTTCGCCGGTAGCTTGCGCATCACCTCGTGAAGATGTTGTGGGTCCCCCAATACCAGCTAACGTGGCAGCCCTGCCTGAAGAACAGCGGTCCTACTTGCTGGGGCGGATTCCCTCGCAACGGACCAGACGTCGGAAGGCCATGATCATATATGTCTGCGCTGCTGACTCCCAAGGTGAATTCATTTGGTTCTTCATCAGTATTTATCCACTTCTTCTTCTACCTGGCAATTTCCCAGCTTTAGCCGGGGTCCGCCCTCAGTATTTATCCACTAACATCATTCAATCCAGTATAGAGATGAGAACATCTAGATGCTATGGATGTTTAGTCATGAAGAAAATTCGCATATAATTTTAGACGCAATTAATTTTCTAAAACTAACAGGACATGATTTGACGAATATTGTTTTGACACACTTCTATGTGACCATACATTAAGAAGTTGATTTCATTTGTTGAATACAGTAAACCGCAAAACAGATCTTATGATCTCTCAACTGAAATAAAGCAGAAATTTGTCCACAAAACGGATTTTATTGACATTGTAAGAAACCAAACCAAAGAAACCAAACAAGAATTTAATACCCATCAAGTATGATTCAAAGACTTTGACAGCAAAATATCAATCAGTCCGATGATCATGCAATAAGTGTCTATAATCTATATCTACGGACTATTCCTTCTCCATAGATTGTTGCACAGAGAAGGGTGCACTCCACTGTGCTGTGGCCGCTCGTCTCCGCGTGCGAGCTCGTCGTCGCGGCTGGCGCGTCCATGTAGCTGATCTTCATTGGCGCTCACCGCTCGAACAACAGAGGGACCATCGCTTCCCTGTTTTGTGTATCGCTGAGCTAGCTCGTAAGTAACAGGATATAGCTGTATCATATGTGTTGGTAACAAAAGTATCAAGAAATAAACTATTTGTTTATCTATGCGCAGTATGTTTTCGTAAATAACTAATGCTTATATATTTACCGAATAGGTTTGACAGTTTTTGGTCATTATATAAGACTCTCTACATAATTATATAAGGCGGCAACCGGAGGTTCAAGGAAAATTATTAAACTTACTTATACGTATATCTTTATATATATATAATTCTTCTGTGAGTGTGTATGTCACTAAACTTCTCTCAAAAGACTGGACCGATTTTGATGAAATTTTTTGTGTGAGTTCACGGGGATCTGGAAATAGTTTAGATTCACAATTTTGTCCGCTGGACAATGTTTTTTTATTAAATTTTTAATTTATTAGTAGTTGTTGATACAAACGTTTTTTTGACATTAGATTTGACAACTAACTAATATGTTAATCATTCTGTCGCACTTCAAGACAGGGAGATTTATGGCTTTAATAGGTAAACTCTAAAAATATAAATAAAAAATCGTAACAGATATTTCTTGATTATATGGCGATACGAAGTTCGCCGGGTCTTCTAGTCTATATAATATAAAAATGAATCCCTTTTTCCCTTGGTCACGGCACATGTGAATGGCTGGACCGATTTCACTAATTCTTTTTTTATTGTATTTGTTATTATGAGAAGGTACTTATGTAATGATAAATTTAGTTAAATAATATTTTATCCCTACAACGATGTTGCCCCGGCTATGTTCATTTATTTTTTAATATGTTGCCCATCCGCAACAATAAAAACGGGTTTTTTTAAAATATGTTAAATAATACTTAAATACGGGCATAATTTTTGTGACCACCGAAAATTAGAACTGACTTCGCTAAACAAAGTATTATAATGTCATACCCTGGGTTTTAGGTCAGTCTGAGTTGGGTGCTGTGGTTCCGGTTCTGTTCCTCAACACTAGTCTCGGCACCCCGCTGCTGCCACACACCCTGGAATGCGCTGACTTTAAAGCCGCCTTGGAAACAGCTGAAGACGAAAATGATAAAGAGCTGTTGAACAAATGGTAATACATGATTGAGTTATTCAATTAATAATCTAATAGGAGTTAGTTAATTTTTATCTATATTTATCTAAAAATTTTGTGTCATTAGAAGAAAATGTATTAAATACGAGAATTACTTCTATAGTACCAAATCGGTTAACGCAAAGCAATAATATTAATATCATTCTTTTATCTTGATATATCTTTTTATTTCGTTGATGAAATTATTTTTTTTTGTACAAACCATAGCCACAGACATCCTTATATATCCTTATATACTATTTCTTTAATTAAATAGATTCAGTTGTAGATATACGTACTTGTGTAATAGGCTATCTTGAAACCAAACCAAAAAAATGCTAATCTAAATATTTTTTTATAATGACGATTCACCAGTACACTTATTCTATGACTGCATCATCACCATTTCTCGTTCCATAACCTACGCTAAAACTAATTTCCAAACATTTATTACTCAAAATCTATCATAAAGATAGTCTCCTCTATCCAACATCGTTCGAACATTTATAAGAGTCATTTTCCTCCAGGTACACTCTAGATAACAGCACTACACCTCCTTGTTACCGCTTGGCGCGAGGTGCTCCCGCTCGTTGGAGACGAGACATGGCTCGAGCTCTTAGTGTACTAGTCAGAACATTACCACAGGAGGCCTGCGACGCTTACCTTACTACTGTACTAGAACAGGTATGAGAGTCAAATTTCAAATTAGCAAATATGTATAGTCATGAACCAATTATAATCTTAAAAGCTGAGCTTCCTATATGTTGATAAATTATTTGCTGAGAAATAAAGATTACTAGTAACACCAAAGATCTGATCGGTGCCTGATTTCGAAGGATTTACAAGGTTGGGAAAACTTGTCTGCAGTAATCATGATGAAAAAATATTATCGAACGAAGCGAGGGGAACTCGGGCCATTCATCCATGGAGATAATCTCGGCAACCAAATGTCCGATCAAGTCGAGGTTTTTTTGATCAATAGAAAAGTTCTGTGATGGTTTTTATCAACAAACAAATTAGATTAAACAAATTTAAATTTTAAAACGCAATTATGTCCAAAAAACGCTGTAATCGCTCCAACTAGGACCAAGAGCTTATGAAAGCCCTAGTTTGTGATATTGAACCCTAAACGAACGTCTATATTCCAGGAGGTCCAGCACACGGTGTTAATGAGTTCCGACGCTGCTCGTCGGTGTGTGTGGGTCTGTCGCGGAGGAGATGTGGCTCAGAACAACGACCCTGACGCTGAACACACGCGCGAGCTACAGAGACGACTCGCTAACTTACATAAAGATCTCAAGGTCAGTTGAAATAATAAAACATATTAATACCTAAGGCGTATGGTTACGAAAGTTATGGTGGCATAATAAAAAAATTAGGACTAGACAGAACCTGGCTAAAGCTAGGAAATTGGGGGGAAGAAGAAGAAAAACAATTAGGACTATCCCTCCCTCAAGATTTATCGAGTTTATGTTTTTTACCATTGAATCCTAAATAGTCCTTAACACACAAAAAAAATATATTGCAGGATAAATTTTAATGAGACCAAAAATAACTAATACACTCCTATTTTACGTCCAGACACTAAAAAGTTCGATAATCCTCATCATTACTTACTCAAATAAAGCAACACTGAAGAACACTACCATATATCCTAACAATCTGATCGCAGTATATTTTGTATTACTCAATGTATCTTATTTCATTTCCATCCCAGCTTCATCGTATTCGTCTAACCTCAGTATATTTTGTTTCTCCTTAATTAATCTTATTTCTGTCCCAGCTTCATTTAAGCGAGCGTAATATAATACGTTCTTCAATGCGTCGCGGCACGAGCCCGGAGCAGCACGCGGCGGCCGTACGCGACGCGCTCGCCGACAGACTGGACGCGCTCCTCGACACACTCGCGGCAGACGGGGACTCCCCCGCCGGCTACGGGGGAATACCCGCCAGGTATAACGACTACCCGCATATACATACATGTTATGTAACTTTAAAAATAAAGTTAATAGTAAGCATGAAGGTTGTGTTATGTTAAAAATAATTATGCGCTATTAATAGTATTCTTAAAATATTTAGAAAATGTCTTTTATGTGTATTTATTATTTCTAATTTTAAAAATCAGATTTCAAATTAGTGTTCTGTTCAAATAAATAAGATAATTGGTTAAAAATGTATATAATGTTTTTACAAAATAATATATATTGATTTCAGCTTGTTCGACGAAATAAGTGAACATCTCTCGTTCTGCCAGAAAGTGACTCAATGTACCTCAAATCGTGAAATAACGCTAAATGAACTGAAAACGTACGTACGGACTCAATATATAAATATTCATTCCTTCTCTTCTAAACCCAGAAATCGATCTTTAATTGTTTATCTCGTATTACTCTATAGAAATATTGTCGCACAAAAAAAAATAAAAAAAAAACATTCGTTCCAAATTTAAACGTTCTATATAACTAGTGGTATTACATTATACAAAAGAAAAAAACATTCGTTCCAAATTCAAATGTTCTATATAATCAGGTACATGCGCGGCGAGAGCTCAGTACCGCTCGCGCTGCTGGGAGGCGCGGGCTGCGGGAAGGCCACGCTATTGGCTCGTGCGGCCGCACTAGCGCCATCTGTGTTACCAGACGTCGCGCTCGTTCTAAGGTTCATATAAAAAATACCCTGAATAATATGCTTACCTTGCACGAACACTAAAGCCATATATAAATTATAACTACCGTCACTATATTTATTTGCACAGTTGAAGTCTAACGGCCTGTCTCTAGGTTCGTAGGTCTGACGTCGCAGTCAAGCAGCTCACAGCAGCTTCTAAAGTCGATAGTGGATCAGCTGCACGTACTACACACGGGCACCGTATACAGGGGACGTAATGTACGCACACCCTCCTATATAACACCAACATTATAATCTAGTAACAAACATATTAAGAACTATTCTGAAAGCAAACAACAAAGAATATAGAAAAAAAAGAGATCTAACATTTTCGAGAGTTTTATTTGATTACATTAAACTAATATTATTGGGATTATAGACCCTGGCTATATATAATAAAGCTGGGAGGTTGCCATGAAGAAGAATATTATTGGGATTATACTACGCGATTTTATTTGTAAAAAAACTACATATATACATGATTCACATTCACATCTCGTCTGTGTGAACACGGTTGCTGAAAAGTAACCGAAACGTCGGGAGTATATAGTTTTTACAAACATAAAATCCCATAGTATGATCCGCAAAATAACTTTATATTCAGTGGATATTGAAAACATTACAGATGATTGTCTAAATAGAATATTATATGGAACTAATATTATCAATAAAATCTTCTCTCAAATAGTACAAGTAGTTATTATGAGTTAAATATATCTCTAAACTAGTTTTCACCCCAGGAGCCGCTCAGTCTGTCTTCGACCCTGGCTCGTCTCCTAGAAGCGGTCGGTCGCACGCGGCCTGTGTTGTTATGTGTGGCTGGAGCAGATGCCTTGCGCGGAGCAAGATGGCTGCCTTCGAAACTACCCGAGAATGTTAAAATGATAGTTACCGTCACTGAAGGTAGGATTGGTAGACTTGTGATGAATACTATATAGAATGTATCAAAAAATTAAGAACTATTTTGTTTAAAATATAAACAAAAGGATTATTTCGACGATTTGAAAATGATTTTCATATTGCTGACATGATCTCGGTTGATATAAAGTAACCGAAACGTCGGGACTATTTAGTTAAAATATTAGTTTTACTTTAATGAATACATACAAAAATAGTACTCATTATCTTATTTATATTCCAGAAAAAGACGAGCCGTCCAGTTCAGCGATAATGGCGGTGCTATCATCAGAAGATGGACCCAAAGTAGTGAGGGCTCCTCCGGTCGGTGCGGAGGAGGCGAAGGCGGTCCTACTGGCGACCGCTGCATCATACAGCAAGACCGGAGCCGGCTCACCTCCTGAAGCCGCTATCAAGGCCGTTCAAAAATGCACTCTACCACTCTATGCTAAGGTTAACTTCTGTATATACACTAGAAGACCTGGCGAACTTCGTATCGCCCTATCAAGAAATATCTGTTACGTTTTTTTATTTATATTTTTTGAGTTTACCTATTAAAGCCATAAATCTCCGTATCTACAAAAAATGTCATCAGAATCGGTCCCGTCGTTTGAAAGAAGTTCAGTGACATACACACAGAAGAATTATATATATAAAGATTACGATATCCTTAAAGCTCGACAAAATTAACAAAAGTTGTATAAAATTATATATCATCGACATGAATATAAAATTCCTCCATAATCAAACATCACCTTTGATTTACATATATATATATAAGCTATTTTAACATAATTATTGTACGGTATTTTGGAATAGATCAATTAATTGTATAAATATCAATAAATAACATATTCTTTCAGATTCTAGCGTGGCAAATATCTCTATCAGCGGAGACCTTCACTGAATTATCCGAACCGGAGACAGCTCCCGAGCTGGTGATATGTGATGATCTTGAAGGTCAATTGGAACAGATATTAGTGACGACAGAAGCAGCCCTTGGGGCAGAACGTGTGAAGGCGTGTCTGTCACTACTGACTGCTGCGAGACGAGGACTTGATGATACGGAGATATTAGACCTACTGGCTCATGACGAACTGTTTAGAAGTGAAGAAACTTATCGTAAGTATAATTTATACAATGAGATAGAATGACTGAGTAATGTATGTTCTACCTTCATTTCTCTAATAGTTAATATTAGTAAATATACTTGGCTACTTAGTCATAGTTTATAATATTAAAGTATTTCGATCACGAACTATTAACTAGATTACTGACTAATATTTGACAAGCTAATCTTGTTGATATACCTGATACAAGTTTCACTACCTCTACCAATTTTACTACCTCTTTTGGAGGCAGTGCTAAAGGTCTTTCAAAAAGATCTTTCAGTGCAAAAGGTTTTGCTTTCCTGCTGGGCTTATCTTGATTCATCACTCTAGCTTGTACTAGTCAATTCCTTTCACCGCAGTTCTCACTAATTCATATTCTCATTTCACTCACACCCATCCTTGCCTATAGTCCTTTATCAATATTAGGTTTAAAGAAGTTTATTTCCAAAAAGAACAAAAGTTCGCTTACAAAGGAAATTTTAAAAACTATAACTACAATTAAAATTACAAATAATAAACAGTACTTAGTGATATTAAACAAGATCAGTGAAATCTTCTAATATTATATGGGTCTTAATCGTTTTTTAAATATATTTAGAGATTTTGAATTGACAACACTTAGAGGCAAAGAGTTACACAGCTGTGCTCCTTCAAAACTTTTCCCTCACCTTCCAGTGCCGTGGGCCCCGGGCGCGCTCCTCTGGCCGCAGCTGTCCGCTCTCCTCTCCCCCTGGCTGCGTGAGTCTCGGTGGCGCGACGCGGCGCTGGCGGCCGTCGCCGCTGAACGCTACCAGCCTCAAGTTGAACGAGCGAGACGTACACTCGTTGACTATTTTGAGGTACGTATAGTATAGTTTATAGATTAGGTTTGATGTAAAAACCCTTCACTATAGTGTATAAACATTCTAATTTGTAAGTATACATATGAAACTTCCAATACAATGTTGAGATTTTAATCTTTATCACAAAAATTTACAGGGAAAATGGTTTGTCGAAAACGATCCCAAAATGGCCGGGCGTCTGGTGTCTCAAGAAAATAAATTCTCCGATGATTGGTACGTTGCCATACATCTGATGGTTGATAAATTAAGACTTAATTAAAAATATTATTATTACTTTCAGGTACAATACAAGAAAGTTCGATGAGCTTCCATTCCAGCACTACCACATCTTGAAGGAGGATCCGGAAGCGTTTTCCGTGAAGCCTTACTTCACACAACTAGATTGGATCCACGACAAACTAGCGGCAACAGACTGCGGACATTTCTTAGAAGACATCGCTCTCGTTCATATAGACCCACTACCAGAACATTTGGAAATATTGAAAGAATTGTTTGTGACACATTCCTACGCCCTGGACTACGACCATAGACAATTTTACGGATTACTTAGAATCGTGATGGAGAAAAGACAACGCGAAGGCATTCACATCGATAGTGAGATCGTTCAGGATTGGATGAAAGAAATCTGGGAGCCGCCGATACCGACCTTCTACCCCGCTAATGAAGACTTCTGGAAGGTTCTGGAGAACAAAGAAAAGAGGGACATTTCCATGGCAGAGGGTTTCGATAGCAAGTCATATGACTTGATAGTGAGGTTTAATACAAGAGGCAAATATGTTGCTACAGTTTCAACTGAAAGGGAAGAAATCTGCGTCTGGGATGTTCTGAGGTAATACAGTAATAGATATGTAAATGAATACAAGTCCTATAAATAGTTTCTTAATTAAATGTTATGTTTGTGTGCAGATGTAAGATGATAAGAAAAATAACGGGTGTCACTCATCCCATCAACTTGGTGCCGATTGACGAGTATCGTTGTGTGGTGTTGTGTCGCCGCGAGCTCAGAGTGTATGACTTAGACCAGGTCAGAACATTACTAACGAAAGCTAACTTAGTATTTAAGTCACAAGTTTTATTAAAAAATCCTCTCTGACTTTAATCCTAAAGGACTTAGGGACCGTTCAAGTATTACGTAAGCACTATCTAGGGGCGGGAGTCTTTGGTTTGATTATTTTGGATGACATGGCGGGTAGGGGAGTCTAGGTATCGATTACATCTTCGGTAGTTATTAATTGTTAATCCTCACATCGAGTAGATTCATAAAAAAATACAATTATAATTTTTTTCTGGACTTATATTAAAAAAATATATAGTAATTGAAAATGTTTACGTAAGCATGGGGGGAGGGGGTAAGAGCTTTGCTTACTTTTGCTGACAAGTCACAAGGGGGTGGGGGGGTAAATAATTGTAATAAATCTGCTTACGTAATACTTGAACGGCCCCTATATCTACAGCCTAAAAAACATTTACACTACAAACTTTTGGTGCCAAAAATTCTATTAGTAGACATTGACATCCATTGTTTTTATTTTAGGCAACCGTCATGTAAGTCCAAATTATTGCCTTATTATTTTTCTACAATATAAGTTCTTTATGAATTTGATAATCCACCAGGGAAAATACCTGGTAGCTCTGAAGGGTGTGATGAATCAGAAGATGCCCTACTATGGGCTTCACGACGCGAGCCACCTCGTGGCGCTCTCACGGAACAGAATGTACGTCAACCTCATGAACATAGAGACTGGTAAGTTATAGATAACAACTATTCCTAATTTTAACATCTCCATGTGATTGCGATGCTATTTTAAGGGCATTTCTTCTAATAAAACAAGTTTTCAATCGTACAAACGCTTTTAAAACGGCTCATGCTCATATTTCAATCTGAATAACTGACTCGTCTTCAATAATAAGAATGCTTTTTTATAAATGAAACTTATATTTCCGGTTTATTACGCGTATTTTATTTTTATATAACATACTCCCGCTGTTTCGGTTATTTGAAGCAACCGTGATCACAGGGCAGAGGAAATGTGAAAAATATTAGTTTCAGTTAAATGAATACTCGCGAAAGTCTTAGTCTCATTAATACTTCCTTAGCTCCCAAAAACCTTTAGTATATTTTTCAACAGGTGATTGCGTGACTACATTCAAGGCGGGTGAGGATAGATTCCTGAATTCTTTGCTCGTTTCTGGTGATGGAAGGTACTTGTAAAAACACTAATTATACTTTTTAACTGCAATCGAATATTAGTATATTTTATCTTATATACAGGGTGTTAGTGTGTGGTGACGAGACCCAGAAGCCTTTCCCGCTTCTAGTGTGGTCGTTGACCTCTCGGAAGCTTTTGTATGATCTCAGGATACCTCATCACGACTTCGTTACCTCTAAAGCAGCTATAACCTATGAAGGTAACAATTTCTTTTGAAGTAAAACTTCTTTACGCAAGCTTGACTTGGGAGTAAGCTGGGGAATGTATGATGAAACGAAATGTATTACGAACGAAACGAATGTATTAAGAAAAGTATGATCGGGCGAGGCCAACAAAAGTCAGAGAGAGATTTAAGTTAGGGAAGGATTTTTTTTTATCTTAAGACCTACATGTTCTATTAAACATTACAGTCCTATTCAAGATAATTTTCTGCACCTAATAAATATTTTTCTCTACAGACTAAGGGTCAATAAATTTGCATAGAATCTCCAATTCAAAGCACATAGGTTTTTGACAATTAAAATATAATAAAAACTACAAAATATATTACACATCGTGTTTCCTTCACACTTTAGCAAAGTTTTCCCCGATTTCAATGCGAATTAAGCCAAAGCATAAACAAATAATGTATTTTACACATGATATTGGTCCCAAAACCGCTTGCATCGTTTAGTTTGGTTAGCAAACACCAATTCTTCTGGTAAACTAAATATTCTCTAGGAAACATGTGCGTGGCATAGTTTAGTTTGGTTGGCAAACACCAATTCTTCTTCAAATCTGAGTATTCTTCTTTAAATCCGAGTATTCTTCTTCAAATCTGAGTTTTCTTCAGGGTCCTACGTGTGTGTGGTGTCCCGGGAGCTCGATGAGCCGAGCCCTAACTTCATAGTGGTGTACGACCTTCAGTCCGGGACGCTGTTCAAGAAGTGGAAGCCTGGCTGTGACACCGTGGCGCTGGCGATCAGCTCTACAGACGGGTGTGTGGTGTCCGGACTCGCTGATACGAGGATACTAGTGTGGGACCTGGTCACTGGTAAGAGATGGATGGAGGTTTGAATTGGAATTAGCCTTGTTAAAACATGTTTGAGGCCTTTAGATTCTTTTTTCGTTTAATTATTTTCACCAAATTGCTATATAAATATAATAATAAATAATAATAATAATGTAGTGATGTAGTGTGAGATATTTTTTTAGTAAAGCAACATTGACAATTACGTCCTTAAATTTCACCGTTACTTTGAAATAAATTTCGTGTGCGTAACGTTGAGTTATCAACACAATAGTACCAAATTAAAACAATACGTTGTAAATAAAATCATTATCGATACGTATAATTTGCATATTATATCGCCTATCTTCTAAATGATTAAAAAACTGAATATATTTTGAGAAAATGTTGTTTATACTTACTATTAAAGCAATTAAAATAGAAATCATGTTGAGTTACTTAAATTTGGAGACATTTTATTAGTTAAGTAGGATCATGGAATAATGAATACTATATAATAACGCAGGTAATTGTCGTCTAACTCTGCGCGGTCATCGTTCCGCTCCTTCCATGTTGTCGCTGGCTCGTGCGGGCGCCACGCTGCTGTCCGCGGACAAGGAACGTCTGGACAGATCTGTGAGGCTGTGGGACCTACATACTGGTGAGGAACTTATACTTGGAGTATAGATCTGATGAGTGACGTCATCAAATACTGTCTGCTTAAATTTGTGGAGTAAAGGGCTAATGAGTGACGTTATCAGACAATGTCCGTTCTCATATGAAGTTTGAGGACTAGGCTTAAGTGTCTGAACCAAAATTTTTTTTTGGCAGAATCCCTACTAATATTATAAATGCGAAAGTAACTCTGTCTCTCTGTCTGTTACGCTTTCACGCCTAAACCACTGAACTGATTTTAATGAAATTTGGTACAGATATAGAGTTGACCTCGAGAAAGAACATAGAATAGTTTTTATCCTAGATTTTTGAATGGTTCTCTTGGAAACGCGATATAATCATAATCCACGCGGGTAAAGCTGCGGGCGGAAAGCTAGTTATTTATAAATCGTAAAGTATTAGAGTTATACGTTGTTAACAGAAATTAATAGTTTCAAACTTCGCAGGGAAACTAATAGCGGTGTACACTCCGCCGGACAGGGTCACCTCGTGCGAGATACTCCTTGGTGGATCAGTGTTAGCCTTGGCCCTTGAAAACTACAAGGAAATACTGTGCGTGAAGCTTCACGGACCCACCGTGGAATCAGTGAAGAACGGCAGGGACGCGGAGTATGACGACACAGGGTACGGACAGGAAGACAACGAGGGAAAGATATTTGACGTCAGGGGAATGGAAAACACTTGATCATAGAGTAGAGTGGAACGTTAGCAATAATATATGGAATTAATAACGTTTTAATATCACAATAAGATGTGCTGGTCACATATGTTGGGGCAGGCCTCAAAGTTTTGTTAATGGTGGCGCCACTAGACTCCTTAATATAGCAACTTTGTCATGTCAAGAAAATATTAGTTTCAGTGGCGCTCATTGTTAAGTTTAACACAGAAATGTTTATTTATACGCTTATTTTGTTTTTTGTTTCGTTTTATGAAAGACAATTTACAATTGATCCAGTGATACGTACAACTTGAAAAATATGTTGATTCTTATTTGTGATTAAATCTGGCAACACCATTATTAATATAACCTTTTTAATGCTCACCTTTATTATCTGTATTTTTTTTATTATATAATATTTAAAATGTCTTCGGTTTATATTTCATCGTTACAAATAAGAATCGATATATTCTATGACTTGCTCAATTATTTTTATTTCTTTTTGAGGCCTATAGGGTACAAATTAAATAAGCGTTACTTACCGTTTAAATTTAAAACCCTGCGTGTGGTTTTCCAATTATTATTTTTCCAATATATAATTCATTTTTTTTATTAGTCCTACCATCCCAAAAAATATGTTCTCATATATTTCTTTTGAAAATAAACTAAAACAATATTAATTTAATTTTAAGACCTGTCAAACTCATTTATTTTAAAAGTTGGACTGAGTATTACAACAAGTAAAAAAATAAATTAAGCACATTATTTAAAACATAGTTTAAAAATTTTAATAATACACACGCAGAGGTTCATACTGCCACATATAAAACCTCTATTGATATAAATACCCTAAATAATTGCGCCCAGCTAATATTAGTGAAGATACTAAGTAATTAATAAAAAAAAACATCAATGTTTTTGATCTATTACGCTTATTAATTAAATAAAAATAATTATTAACTATAAAAATTGTATTTAGTGATTTTTTCTGTAATGTTAATGTTTTAAAGTATAATATATTAATAAACACGTAGTTGTTGGAAGAATACTGTTCAGTTTACCTAAAAAAGTATGATAATGCTATTTCGACGAAAAAAAAGTTTATAACCAAAGAGGTTTAATTTGAAATCATTGAATGGGTCATCTTATTTTGGGTAAACTAAACATTGTCCGTTAAGTTGATTGGGAAGGAATGTTGAAGTCGTCTTTATGAGATACTTAGAGCCTGATACAATTAATCCACGAGCTCACAATTATCTATTTTATAGTGTGTATAGTGAAGCACAATTTATAGCACAGAAACAATAAATGGTCAAAGGGCACAAAAAAAATTGATTAAAAAGAAAATATTCAATATGCATTGCCACCACGCTAAACCTGACATGTATGCCATTAATTGTCTCCTATAAACAGTTTAATCCTTAGATTCCTTAATTGTTATCAACCTGTTATATAAAAACAGTACTCATTATTAATCCGATTCTTAGCTTAATTTCTATAAAGATTTTTCAAAATGGTGGCATCAGATAAACACGCGGCAAATATATTTTCTTTTAATCATAGCTTGTCACAAAAACAATCCAAATAACTTGCATGTAACGTATCATGTTCCAAGACCAATTTTATTAAATGTTAGAAAAAAATCTTTCTTAACTTATTAAAAAAAATGTAATTGAAAATCTAAAATGGCGCGTGATGACGCATTTGTTTTTGATCTTTAATTTCTTTGTAGTGTTATTAACAGGCTGGTCCCTGTACTGATATTTTATTGTAAGTAACCTACCATTGAGTAGATTATAATTTTAGTGTTATTATAATTGAGGCGATGTAATCAAAAGAATTGTTAAAATTATGTATTCCGGAATGATACGTATATTGATGTCCTGATTAAATTATCCTACAAATCTGTTGTATTTTATTTATATCACGTGACTTTATATTTATATGACTATGAAAATATTTTTTTTTTGGCCTATCAGAGCCCACTGCTGAGCAAAGGCCTCTTTCTCTCATGGAGAGGGTTTGAGGGTTAATCACCACGGTTGCTCAAGACGAGTTGGTCAAACTAATAATTGTGAAATTATAAGTCCAGCTTTCCTCACTATGTTTATTTTTACCGTCTGTCAGTGATGTCTAAATACTCTTAGAAAGTACATATAACTCGGAAACAAATATATTTATATGGATTTAATACAAATTCCTTTGCTTATTAAGTAAGAGATGCCAGCATCGCTGACGTCACTAATGTCACTTCTTTCAGTACTTTTCATGAAATTTCAAAATGAGACTTCGGTCCGGTCCGCACTTACTGAACTCTGCTGTCGTGCGTCCAAACGTCATATTTATATTCTACACCAATATTTAAACATAGTTCTATTCTCCTTTTAAACAGTCTCTTATTTCGTTTTACTTTTAACAATAATCATAAATAATAATAAGTTTTTATAATAACTCTTTATGTTCACGCTAGTTCACGTTTCGTATTAGTCAGAACAAAAAATGAATTCCATTAATACCATTAAGCAAAAAACGTAATACAAGAATTCTATTCACACGTTTTTTTTATCTAGTATTTTTTTATAGAGCTTAAAAAATATATATTGCACGAAAATGATTACAGTACTATACCGATCGATATTTGGTAGGTATACCGATCCTTAAAAATGTCATTTATAATTATAAATCATTTGTTGTAAGCACAATATAATGAGTTAACTATAAACTAAAATGTAATTAAACTGGCAAAAACATAATAATTCAGTCAATATATGTACATTACCTTCCTTTTTTATAAGTTAGTAGTTACTTTGAAATGCTTATCCTAAGTGGAAGAAATTTAGATTATGTAAGGTCACTTTATGTCCTGAATGATAAATTGGTAACACTCCATTAAATTGAAAACTACAATAAACAATTATATTTTTAAAAACAATTGAACAGCTTGCAAAGTAAATCACCTATTATTAAATAGTTACGAAATTTTTTATTTTTATGTTTAGTTTATGAAGTCATTTCGATTTATTATAATTTGTAAAATGTTTTGAATCAATCTTCCGATATTATAAACAAAAATACTATTTTAAATATTCTTTCACTAACTTGTATGGGATAGACATTAATATTTACATCAATATTTTGTCTAAAACCGCAGTAGTTTTGGTCAGAAATTAGTTCTTTTAAATAAATGAATATACAAATATCACTTATACATACATAAATTTAACATAAGTTACTATCTCAAGTGTTAAAATATTGTGTCCATTAGTCATCTAGTGGGTAAAAAGAAAAATACTGAAATAAATTTACATTTTTAATTACAGAGCAAAGTAACAACTACATTATATCACATAAATATTTAGCATGATTGGAACAGTCCCTTCGCACGCATCTCCTCAAACTCCTTCTCAGCATCGTAGGTCCTGAAACGTAAAGGTAAAGGTAAGATCATTAAGAAATAAATATATTTTTCTTACTTTTATCCAATGTTATTTATTATTTACCTGTAGAACTCGGCATACTTCCTCTTGCGTTCATTACCGACCAGCTGTTTGAAGGCAAAGCCTGAAACGGCAGCGCAAGTTAGAGAGAGGATCAAGTTGCGCTTGATAGCTGAGTTGAGGAGACCACGCATTTGGGGCTTGGAAGCCGTTGATACTGCCTTCTCACCAGCCATCTGGAATATAAGATTTTTACTTATAATAATGATATCTTAGTTAAATAAAACTTTAATATGCTGTTTTGATAAGCACCTTTCTAAGAAGTTTGGGTTTTTTAAACTAGATTTAATAAGCTAACATCTTAGCTGATGATAAGAAGAGATGAAGAATTAGATGGCCATCGTTTCATTAAGAAAATTAAAATCATGTTCTAATTACCAACAATAATAGGTATTTTACAAGGGCATTGTAAGAGTAGTTTATTTGACTTTTAATAAATTTGGCTTAATTAAAACTCTTTGAAATGGTGTCTTAATTAGGTAAGCCTATGTTACATGGCATTCGGGTTTAAGTATTACTAATTCATAATAAGTTAGTGAGATTGAACAGGTTATATTACTTATCAGATAATAAAATAAGAAAATAAATTTATTAACACGAAATAATAATTAATACTAAAACGTGTAACAAAAAAAAAACAATCAATGGATAGAAAAAATAAATATTCCTAATTAAAAAACTCGAAATTTTAATTTGAAAATAGAATATTGACGTTCTTACATAACATAAGCGTAAGATTTTACTACGTTCATTTATTTCGTCTAAATCTCTCGATTTTTCGTGTTTTATTTAAACAAACTTTTCAATAAAATTAAACTTAATACTTACATTTGTAGTTAAATTTCTTTAATAATACTTAAAGACCTCGAATATACTGCGAAAGCAGTCTGTTCGATAAATATTGAAGTAGGTTGGTTTTTGTTGCAGCTCACAGACTAAAAATATTTCATTGGTTAATATTAGTCAAAGATAATTTTGACCAATAAAATGAAATCTAACTTGAATTATGTGTGTTCATAAAATAAAATGATTGGTGAAAAATATTTCATTTGAATTATATAAAATATATATTCATTTGAAAAAACACATTCAAGTTAAAAAAAAACCTCTCATTATTTATAAGTTCAAGTTAATTTTAATGTCACTTTATTGTTAATGTTTGCTTTTAAATTGCAAATCCGTTGTACACAGCGTTATCCAAAGTATTCTATTTTTTATAATTGAAATACTATATTTTTTCAAAAATATGTTCTTATACTTTCATTACGTTAATGTCTACTTTACTTTATTTATTTGACCTTATAAGTAATATGAACATTGTGAGTTTAAAATTATTTCACATTTACCGTACAATTCCTCAACATTATAGCAAAATTTATTCATGTACTTCAACAGTTTTTGTCAAAGAAATCTTCCCAATATTGTTTTCAACTATCTAGTGACATTAAAGATATTTAAATGTTTTCGTGCTGGGCACACTGAAGGATTATAATTTCAACCGTTAAACCCTAATCAGGCAAAGTGTGAATCTAAAATTTTTTTACTAAACAATACGTTTAGGGAAAAATTTTATTCAAAGAAAGTGGTCATTATAAGCCATATACCGGTATGGCGGTAGTATGATATGAACTCTGTGTTCATTATAATAAAAAATATTTTGAAATAAATTAGTAAATTAGAAGATTTTTTATTGATTAAAAAAATGTCACCGGAACAGTTTTTACAAAACAGTTCATTTATTGCCGCAATACCGCGTTGATAATAAAAAAATCCATTGCAGGACTACATTTCAAAGATCAATTTGTATTTTTTCTATCAGAGATGAAAGTTCAAACTATGCAGTTTCTTATTAAAAATAGTGATAATAACAACGAATTATAAAACGACAAAGAGCTCCTTTGCAGGCATAATGCATGATACGTCGTCTTTTTTATCTTAATTTAAATTCTTTTTAAGAAATAGATCTTTGATTATACATTGCGCAGATAGACACACCGTATTTAGGAATATGTTTTAATGCCAGTACACAAGGGGCGTTATTAAGGGTTAAAAGATATAAAAATTCTATGAACGAGTGTATTTTTTACAAAAAGGTACAAACATTTCTTTTATGTTTTTTGTGTATGGAGTTAATGTCGTACTTACCAGAGAAAAAACCAATTTTATTTTTGAAGTGTAACTTCTAATGTGACTTCCGACGAGGTTGCGTTAAACGTTCAACGCCCCTGTGGTGGAGTAAAAGAAAGAGATGCAGCAAGAATAAATGGGTAGGTCAATTGTTTTGTAAGCAATGTTTGTAAATTTTGTCTTAGGGACACAATGAGTTCACTAATAATCAATTTCTACTTCTTCCTATTTTCATTTCCACATTATTTCACATTTCCGCGCAGAGAGACTGCATGCATAATTATTTTTATTTCTCTTTTTCGTCTTACTAAATGTCTTGGGTTCATACTGAACTAGGTAATTGGTTATTTAGTTATAATCAGGAAATGGTTAAATGTATATGGTAATATAGTAAATTATTTACACTATTATAAATGAAATCAATTTAATTATTGGATTAATCAATTTCCACCATCGGGTAATAAAGAGACAAACATTTTTTTATTCATTTATTAATAAACTAACTTTACAAATTTAATAATAGCAGAACAATAATATTCCTTATTTCTTTTCATTCATAATAATATGATAATAATTCACCATGACTCATAGTACTTTATGAATATAATTATATTAAAAAAAATAATGAAGAACGACAGAGAAAGCAACTTACAGGAGAAAAAAAAATAATGCACAATAATTAAAAATATATATAATATATATGTATATATATAAGAATAGTCGCAACACGATAATTGCCAGCAACAAAAATGTACATGCTCTATATTTGACCTAATACGACGAAACCACGCCGACTAACAACACATCCTAGAAAAAATATTACAATAACATAAAATTATAATATTTTATTGTATCAATTCTTTATTTATTCACTATATCTGCGTATCTATTTACAATTCATTAAATGTTTACATACCAAAACTATATACTATATCGTGTGTAACCCCTAGCCTATATATATAGTGTTTAAACTATTTGTATTTCTCTTTTTTTTATTTAATATATATAGATAAATATTTTATCAGCATAAATAACTATCATTAGTCCAAAATGAAAACAAACTAAATGATAACTATACACCCAATATACACAGCTACATCTGAGGACCCGGTCACTATCATTATATGGTACACGAGCTTTTCGTATTATTAATTTACAGTACAAGGCGTTTTACCCTAGAGACGTATGTACAATGCGACGATTGATGAAAAAAAATTAAGAAAAAAAAAACAAAAAAAATAATTACTTAACGCGTAACATAATTATATTTTTTCCCATCTATACACCATAATTTACAGATACCCCCGGGCCTGCGCCCTCACTCGGGGCTCCGCCTCGCCCGTTACTACTAACATATTATTTATACACACAGCTCATCAACGGCACACATGTTAGGGCACAATATTTTTTTCAGGCAATATTATCATATACATATATATATTTAATCATAAAATATCCACAATATATAAATACTATAATCCTAAATGTATTTTGTATTGTAGCACTATCATTGTCCAATATAAAAAACATGAAACAACATCCAATAAAACATATATCATATGTATGTTATAATGTTACAAATGGAGGCAAATTTTTAAGGCAGCCGAGGGGTTTAATGAAGTGTTACTCACATCCACTTTTTATTGCTTCGGATAGCGTTCAGATATAGGAACGGTGAGACGAAATGTAAATCATTATATATTAATACAAGATTACTTTTGTTACAAAACTGAAGAGGCACCAGCTCACTCTGTCATTACATACTATGTTTTCTATTTACAAGGCGATGATAAAGCTTATATAAAATTATATGAATCACTGGTTCGCGAATTTTTCCATATAAATTATAGTTTAACTGGATACTAGATTGAATGGTTGTAGAGGGGGCGGGCGTTAAATAATAGTTAGTATATTGGAAGCCCAGTCAGAGTGTCGATACATTCAGTCACTTCACTAAGAAATTATTTCAAGTTACAATGTCACATTAAATTACAATTATTGGTCGTGATATCACTTATATATAAAGTTAACATCTCTAAAGCAGCATCGGAACGAAGTAGCCAGAGGTCATTCGGCCACTCCCTTACAAAAACCAACGTTTTAATCCTACGATGTTGACGCTGCGCGGTGTCGTGCAAAAACGTATGAAAATATCTCTTCTTTTTTAAACTTTATGCATCTCACGGATATCTATTCTATCAACAATGTGCCTGTAAGACGAGTGCTCTTTTGTACAATATCTATACATCTATATTCTAACCTAATGCCGCGGTCGTCGACCCGGCGGCGTGAGGCTCTTATATCTTAACACTATAGAACAAATAAACTTAGAGTTAAACAAAACGTCGAGTGATTTACAGTGAATGGTAACATGATTTGTTCAATAATTAATAATATGTAGAACATGCCAGAGTCCGAACGGCGAGCTCGACTGAACAGGAACATTATGAACACTTGATTGAAACATCGATCACACGCTATATCATTTACATATAAAAAACACACACTCCGGTTTAAAACTCCTCAGAGGATTCCACGTTATTTATTGCACAATATTCAAGAAAACAAAAAAAAAAATAATTTTCATTCTAAAAACGTGAGATTCATTGATATATAATGTCCACAAATCATCACACCGTTCATTGTAACTGATAAGGTCACTTCACCGGGCAGGGGGCGCTAGTGGGGCCTCGACTATCACAAACACTAGGGCAATGATACCACGTCGACGGATCACTTCACGGCTTCCGTTTGTATCGACGTGGTGTTGACGAGGGTGTCATTCGAGGTACATGAGCGGCAGAGGGTGTAGAGGGTGCAGCGGCAGAGGGTGCGGTAGAGGGTGCGAGGCTGGGAGGGTGTGTGGGGGCGCGGCACAGCCCGCGCGTCGCCGACGTCACTTGCCGTCGCGCGACGCTCGCCTCCGACGGACCGCCCCCGCCCCGCCGGCCGACGCTGGACCCTCAACCACTGGAACGAAACAGATGACCGTTATAACATAACTAAATCTTTATATATATATATATAATTCTTCTGTGAGTGTGTATGTCACTCAACTTCTCTCGAACGACTGGACCGATTTTGATGAAATTTTTTGTGTGTGTTCAAGGGGATCTGGGAATGGTTTAGATTCACAATTTTGTCCGCTGGACAATGTTTTTTAATTAATTTTTAATTTATTAGTAGTTGTTGATACAAATGTTTTTTTTTTATATTAGATTTGACAACTAACTAATATGTCAATCATTCTGTCACACTTCAAAACATGGAGATTTATGGCTTTAATAGGTAATCTCCAAAAATATAAATAAAAAAAACGTAACAGATATTTCTTAATTACAGGGCGATACGAAGTTTGCCGGGTCTTCTAGAATATTAATACACTTTTAGGATCAAGATAGCCTTCATACTGACTTTTCTTGAATGATATTCAGATCACATTAAGATTGCTAGCTCAAAATGATTTGGACAGATTCAAGTTAACATAATAGTCGTGTGACGCTACTCACCTGCACTCCTAGTTTTCCGCCTGACGGGTGTACTGTTAGGTGGCGCTGGTGTGGGCGGGGCGGGCGCCGGCCCGTGCCTCACGGACCGCCTGGTGCCCACACCCTCGGCGCCCACTACACCACTCTTGGGCACCTTGACCCCTGGCTTCACTGCTTTAATGCCCTTCCCGCGTACTTTACATATTAAGGGCTCGTCACTATCGCTGTCAGACTCCTTCTTCCCTTTCCCTCCTATGGCGGCAGGGTTCATCGGTTTCTGGTCGACCCTTCGAGGTTTTTTCTTCAGTCGTCCCGGTGAGACGCCCTCCTCACAGCTGATGGTGGAGGCGCACGAACTCTCAGATTCCCTTCTCTTCCGTTTCACAGCGGGCGCTGGTTTCGCTGGTACTCCCACTGCGTTCGCGGTCCTAGGGCTGGTTTTGTCCACTGAGCCACTGCGGAGACAGTTCCTAGGCTGCAGCGCCGGTGAATCCGACCTTTCTAGTTTGATGAGCCCGGGACTCAGCCGTGGCGTCTTAGGTCCGTCGGCGGGACTGTTCATTTTACTACTGGACCTCGTCCGCACGCTGCTCCTCGCGACCCTCTCCAACAGCGGGGACGGTGACTCCGGCCTCTTCCCGACGTAATCGGGCGTAGGTATTTCTATTAGTAATTGTTCTAATAAGCTCTTATCTGGAAATTCAGCCTGGAGGGGAAACCTCTCGATTTGCAGCTCCTGCTTTTCTTTCACTTCCGACTCCACGCTTTTCCTCTCACCGTTCTCCGATACTTCACTAGACTTCTCCTCTTTCACTTCCGAGGAATCATTTGTACACGCTTTCTCTTGATTTGAATACGTGTACAGCGGCGGCGAGACTCTACTCGGTAAGTGATCGAAGTCTTCAAGCCCCTTCTCTTTCTTGGGCGAGGTCGTCGTTTCTTCCGTACGCACCTCAACTTTTTGGTCACTAGTGGAGTCTCCGCCGCCGTCAGGATCCGTCGCCTTGGAATCGACTGTTGCTTCGTCTTTCACATCAACCCTGTCTATGCTCTGTTTCGTTTTCTCATCGTCCCTGAGTATGGGCGTGGGTTCCCTCTTCACTTCTTTGGTTATCTCGTCGTCCTGGGGCGGCCTCCTGGGAGCGTCGTCTCCGTTTACATGGTCCGCGTGCATCTTCGCCAGCTCGGCCTCAATGTCCCCCATGTCGTCTATGTCCGGTGGTCCGGGGTCGTAGTGTGTCGGGCCCGTCGCTAGTGACAGCCTCTCCAGCAGATCGTCTGTGGCGGGCGGTTGGTCTATGACCCCTATTATCCTCTGCACGGAGGTGGGACTGGTCGATCTTGGCATGTCCAGGCGTTCCTTTCTCTGCGGCCCGGGTGGGGATTGACTCGCCTGGTTTGGGGATTTCTCTGATAGGGCGTCCATCGACTCGATGCCCGAGTCCTCGCCTTGGGCCTGCGAGTTCGGCGACCGGTTGTTAAACTTGTCAGCGTCGGGCCTCGAGGACCTCTCGGCTACTAGTTTGCAGTACGTTTTGTCCTTGGGCCTCTCCTTCCTGCGAGGGGAGACCGCACCGGGCCGTTGACTAGAGGCGGGCGGTGATGATTCCCGACTGCCTCCTATCGTGCCTATGTTTGTCGATCCAGGGGCATCTGGAACCCAAACATATAAGCCTTCACATTTCTGAATTTATACTAGTACTACTTCTTTCGGTAGTTACGTCGGAACTAATTTTCTTCTATTTACAAATGATTATCAATTAATGCCAATAGTGTGACTGACTAGTATATTTTATATCTGATGTTATTGAATCAATAGTACAAATTCTTATTACTAAATGGGCCAATGGACAGTAAGTGCTTTCCATGCTACAAATAAAATGATCACTACTGTTGGGTCAAATAAATTTATTTTTGAATAGATATTAATTACATTTATATACAATATCAAGATGTCTACAGATATCGAACTATTCTATTAACTTAAACCTACTTGTGAAGAATGCGCTAATAACAATTCTTAATAAACAGTGAAATGATTTGGTCCACATACGAACATAAATTTTGATATTGTTTTTTAAATATAAACCACCTATACAAAATATTCAATATTTATTTACATTCTCATATTCCATATCCATAGTATCATTTCATCATCCATTGAGTGTTTAGAGAGTAAGATATTAAAACAATTAAAATATGTATCATTAATCATATTAATTTACAATGTTAATAATATAATTACAATCCAGCCAGGATACAGATCTATAGACTATCTATACAAGTGTTCTATGAGTGATTCTAGTTAATGTTTTAACTGGAGTATAATTATATGCTACACTTGCAAATCAACATACATACCTGGGCAGGATGTATGGCTTGTTTTCCTTTTCTTCTCCGAGATCAATCCATTAGGAGATGTTATAGCACTCTCGGTGAGTGTCCGTTTCAACTTGTTCTCGTCACGATCAAACTTGCCCTCCTCGTCAACACTCACAGTCCGTTCACTCTTATGACACTTTAACAACCTGCCTTCCAACTCACTAGCACCAGTTTTAATGTCTCCGTAGTCATCTATTTTAACATCACTGGACTTTATATCACATTTCACTAAATCCTTCTCAACTTTAGTTGTGGGTAACTTCTTTTTCACATCGTGATTGTTCTGTGTCTCTCTGTAACCTTCGTTCTGAGCGTATTTACCCTCTTTGTCCAATAAATCGTTCTTCCATTCTTTGTCCCTCTCTTTCTCTATAGATTTCCCTTCGCTCAACATTTTCGACTTCTTCTTTAGTTTCATATTGTCTAGTGACTGTACTTTAGTGAGTATGGTGTAGTCGTGGGATTTTGTCACGATGTGGGCGTTCTTGGATATCGTCTTCATTCTATATACATTGTTGCCACCCGTGACTTCTGTTTTCATTGCATCCCCTTCACTAAAATGATTATTCAGTTTCATGTTCTTAACATGTAAATACTCATCAGTCTTTGAGTTTTCAGTACTATCTGACTTAGACGCTAATGACTCCTGGGAGTCTCGTCTGTGAGATTTTTCATCTGTATCCAAGGATTTTCGTATTTTGATTTTCTTCGAATGGAGGAACTCTGGACATAGTTTTTTCTTTTCCTTTTTGGAGTTCTTTATCACCGCAGAATTTGGACCTCTGAGGCTTATATGTAACGGCGGTACCCTGGGCTCGCCTTCCATTGATTTCTCGCCTTTAACTTGCTGGTTATTGAAACTGACGTCTGATTTGTACACGGGTTGGACGATGGGTTCATTTTTGTCGAGTTTTAACCTCAGTTTCAGAGACTCCTTCTCTCCCGACGGTGACTTAGGTCCGTCTGTGTTGTGTTTTACAACTACGGGTCGTGGAAAGGCCACCTTATTACATTTCCCATCCCTAACTATCTTTTCTTTCAGTATCGCCGGTTTTTCTTTCGCGCCGCCGGTCCTCAGCTTACCTCCCTTGGGCACCAACTTATCATCTTTTTCCTTCTTGATTATCTTATTCTTCGATTTAAGCTCCTCATCCTTCTTACTATCATCCTCTGTTGTTTTTCCCATACCAAACAGTTCTGTAGTCGGTTCCGTCCAATTTTCTTTAACTTTGACCTGAGCCACTGTCACCTCTTCGCTCTTTTTGACCGTATCTTTAGGTGGTGGTGTTTCGTCGTCCCTCATGAGGGTTTTTATCAGGTACTGTTTGCTTTGCTCCTCTATTTCTTGGGCGGTCGCTTGTGAGCCGACTGTCGCTGTGGACACAGACGTCATAGCTCTTATAGGCAGTCTCATAGGTGGAGGCATCGACGCCGACTGGTTCGTGTTCCTATCCATTCTCTCGTTAGGTGTGTACGTAGCGTTAGGCGGCGACTTGAAGGGTGGATGGGTCACCGTATGATTCGGTGAATTCACAAACTTCGAAGTCGACTGTTGAGGCACGGGCGGAGGAGGCGGCATGAACGCCGTCTCAGTGTTACCATCGAACGAATCCGATGATTTTGAAGGCACATCACTATTCATCTGACTCGTGGTGGGAGTCGCATCACTGTAGGGTCCGTTGAGGGTCGGGGCGGGGTATTGAACTCCTGTGATCTCCTGGAGCAAGGAATCGGGGGTCGATTCCGAGTTGGGCATAGAATCTTGTTGATCATAAAGGAGGTCTAGCTTAGTGTTAGCGTCGAGGTCCGATATGGCGGAGAGGGCGGTGTCGTCCAGATTGAGGTCCAGGGTTGGCAGCAGCTGGTCGAGATCACAGTTATCAGGTAGGTCGGGGATGGACAGCCCTAGCGTGTCCCGGTAGGGCTCGTTCCAATCAGGCTGGGACGCGGCACGTGACGCCGCTCGCTGGCGAGCGTTATATTGCTGCTGGTAGCGTTGGAACTCCTGAAAACAAAAACAAATCAATATTATTAAATAGAAGTCCACTGCCAAAAACTAATACTTATAATACAATATTTAAGTAAATGTTAAGTAATATCAAAACAATACATATTTTATTAATACTAAATCGTCGAGGATAGTGCAAGACTGCGTAACAAGCATTGGATAATTCCGCTTATCTGTATTGGAAGAAAATTATCAGAAGAAAGTATAAGCTGAAATATTTTCTAAATTAATGACTTTTAAAGTATTTTTTTCAAAATTAGAAATATTTTAAACACTAAAGAATTAATAATTGTGAAGAAATTATTTTATAAGTCGTTAATATACTAAATATTTCAGCTTAAAATTTCTTCTGATAAGCTGCTTCCAATGTAGATACGCGGAATTAAGCAATGGTAGTTACGCGGATTTGCACTATCCCAGGCGAAATGACATATCTAAAAATATATACATATATGTATAACCAATAGTCCAATAATTCATGACTATATAAATACCTGAAAACTAGACTGCGTTTTCTGATCCATCGACGTTGTTGAGGGCGGCAGGAGAGCTTGGAGGTCTTCCGGCGTAACTCTCGGGGGCGGAGGCCTAGGCCTCGGCACCTGTTGCCGGTAGGGCGGGGGCGGAGGCGCTGGGAACGTGTCGTACGGCGTTGGGAACCTCGTCCTACCAACGACCGTCGTATTTGGAGGTCTGTATTGAGTAGGGGGGGCCGGCCGTGGAGGGAAGGCCCTTCGCACCATCGGTCTCGGCGGCCGTGGTGACGGTGGTGTAGGGGTTGTAGGACGAGGAGTCGTCGGCCTTCCGCCGCGATATTCAAATGGAGCTCGACCAACAGCCAGCTCCACCTAATAATGAAACAAATATTAAATTTTCTATTAGATACGAGCTCTTTGTATTATCACCACTAATATTATAAATGCGAAAGTAACTCTGTCTGTCTGTCTGTTACGCTTTCACGCTTAAACCACTGAACTGATTTTAATGAAATTTGGTACAGACATAGTTGACCTTGAGAAAGAACATAGGATAGTTTCTGTCCTAGACTTTTGAAAGGTTCTCTTGGTAACGCGATATAACCGAACTCCACGTCGGCGAAGTTGCGGGCGGAGAGCTAGTAAGATATAAATGTTTCAGAATAATACATCACCTGTGAATCCTCCAATCTATCCAGTTTGGCTGGATTCGCTTTACTTCTAGGTTGTGGCGCTGGTGCGTCGTTCTGTAGTAGATTGACCAGTAGTGGGGAGGACATAGCCACTGTGGGGGTGGGGGACTGCGGGGGCCCCGGCGTGGTGGGCGCGGGGTACGGGGGAGGGGGGCCTGTGAACGAGGTCGACGGCCGGGGGAACTGGGGCTCCGCTGAAGACGGCCTTAAGGTTGGACCTATACCTGGAACATATTAACAACATTTTATATTCATGTATGTATACACACCTTTATTTGTAACTGTAGGACTATAATTATAGTTCGGGGCACCCAGTAATACGGGTTTGCACCTAGTACAGGGGCCCTTGCAACTTGTTTGTTATGTAATCCTTGAGTCAATAAAGTTTATTTTTATTTATTTTTTATAACTATATAATTTTAGCATTCATTCTTATGTTCTGATTGAATAAAAATTTTAAATGATTTAGAATAGTTTTTTTAACAGTTAGGATTGTAATCAGAGAGACGCAAGATATAGCTTCAAAGTAGTTTTACAAAAAGAGTTATAGTATACTCTCACACCTTTATTTGTGACTATAACTATATAACTATAGCATTGTTTATATGTTCTGCTTGAATAAAAATTTAAAATGATTTCGAACAGATTTTTTTTTAACAGGATTGTAATCAGAGAGACGCAAGATATAGCTTTAAAGTTGCTTTGCAAAAAGAGTTATAGTATACTCTAGCACAATCAGTGTGATATTATATTTAGAATCATTTTGACGGGTGCCATATTAATTAATAATTTATAACTTTCCAATATATAATAACATTAGAAAAAATTTGTATATATAAAGTAACCATGAACAAACTATATAATGCATGTATCATAATTGTAATAAATTGTATGTGATACTCCTTGCTAATAATGTTCTTGCTATATTTGTTTCTCCTTTAACTTTAATATTTATTATTTTTAATATAATTACACTCCATGTCAAAATAACAATTAAAACTGTTTTGACAAAATTGTTTTTACTTATAATTTATTGTAATATAAGCTGTATGTTTTCCCATAAATAAATAAATAAGTATATAATCACCTAAAGTGTTCTCCTTCCTATGTATAACCCTGGCTTGAGTCATACTGCCGAAGGGGTATTCACATCTGTCTGTGGTGGGTGTGGGAATGTTCTGTGGTATTTTACCATCCATGGGGCAGACTGTGTTCGGTGATTTGAAGTTCTGAACCGGTTCCGAGCTGGTTGAAGCCCCCTCATCTGATATCAGACGACCGATTCCTCCTAGACCAGCCAGCAATTCTGTAGACTGACGGGATGTGCTCGCTTCTAGAAATAGACATATACAATTTTTAAAACAACTATTTTGATTTAATATATCATATAACATACTGATCATTTAAAATATAAACAACATTGTCTTTTGTTTATCTTTTCAATTTACAAAAACCTTATAATGCTACATTTTGAAATTATGCTGTTAGATAAATTTAAATATATATGCAAACAAAAGATTTATAGTTTGTGAGAAAAAATGTAATAAATATATAGTAGTTGAACATCTATTTTGAGGTCAATCAGATATGTCTTTCTATTACTTCAGAGACTGTAACTTCATACATATAAATAAGGTAAAATTATTAGCTAAAAAATAGAATCAAACAAATAAAAACTAGAACATTTTCAAACAACTTACATTAAAATTTTGATACTTATTGCACTTTGAAAATAAAAATAATGTGAAGGGCTTATTAATTACAATTTAACATACAAAGGATACAAAACAAATACACCTTAAAAAACATGAAAATATATTGCTATGGTCTGATATTTTTTTATTTAAAATCTAAATTCTAAAATTTCCAGTAAATTAATGAAAATAGCAATTGTATCTGACAGTTTTATAGGTATTAAGCCATTGTAGTTATCTCAACATATAGCTACATATGTGTTAAATTATTTATTATTATTCTTTGATAATTTTAGAACTAACCTGGAAAAATCACCTCTAAGATTAATGTCGTAGTTATATGAATTTAAAATATGACATATTTCAACATTAATTCTATTGAAATCAGTTCAGCGCTTGTACATAATTAAAGTGACAAAGAAATTTATTATATTTGTTCTAACAATTACTTTACAAAAGTGTGTATAACTGTGTACAACTTACAGTATTTGAAATAGACTGCATTTTAGGGGGTCCTAACTAAAATGAATAATAGCATTTTGACACTTAACATTAAGAACTAAATAAAGGTAAGAAAACGAACTTTATCATAATAGAAAAATAAATTTGATTTAGTTAAACATTGGTGCAATATCCCACAACCAGAAATGGAAATGAATATTAAATGTCTAAACAGTAAAGGAATAGATTTGAAGAAAAAAAATTAAATATCACCTTATAAAAAATTAGGAAATATTAGAATAATTAATAGATATATATTGTATATTTACAAGGCATAATTTCATACAAAAAGTTGTTGGGTTCTTTTCTCTCATATGTAATAATGACCACGTAATTACACAAAGAATAAGATATAAAGAGTAAAATAATATATAGTCTGCTATATGGTAGCTACAAATATAACATTACCTCTATGTTCTAAAGACATTTTAAATTAAACCAGTCCAACATCTAAGTTAACTTAAAAAAAAATGAATTCAAACCATCAGCTTTTCAACCTCTAACCTCCAATACAAATTCCAATATCCTACTAATGGCAATAAATTTCTTATTCTGTCATATTCTATTTGAATGTCCATGAAACTTTTAGGTCAAAATTGTATAACATAATTATAGGATGACAATGTGTTTATGTTGAATGTGTGCAAAAAAAAAACGAACAAATTTTACATAAAACAAAACTAATTAATTTTACAGACTGAAAGCATTTTCATTTTCAATTTTCCAATTCTTAACTCATGTTAATAATGTGTGAAAAATTAATCAATGATTAACTGGAAGTGTAAATATTGTGTACCAGTTGAAATCGTAATGAGTAATGTATTTCCTATGGTCACCCCTACTTCTGTTAAGATTTATCAATAATGAACTAGAACAGAAAATTTTGTGTCAATGTTGAAACCTATAGTAGACCTCTACTACTAAGTACCTACTTAATGCTATATTTCTTATGGTATCCCCTACTCCTCGAACAAAACTCACCATCAGCATCCGTATTGATCCTCAGTTCAGCGCCGTGTTGTAGCCTAAGCGACACAGCAGCATCCCCGTCCAACTGCACCGAGAGTATACCCAGAGCCCTAAGCTGTGGCGCCCCCGCTGCGGCCAGAGCCCTAAGCCGGGCTGCGGCAGCGCGGGGCACCGACAGCGTCACACGGACAGAGTTCCACGGCTCCACCTGCGGATTATAATGATGAAACATCAAATAAATTAAGTTCTATAGAATATATGAAAAAAATAATCCTTCGCATTAAGTCCTCATACATGATTATTTTGTTAGATATTTGATTTATCGAAAAGTAATGTTGTCAGAAAAAAAATACGCTGCACGCTGATGTTTAAAAACGAAAAAAAACATCATGCAAAAAAATGAACAAAAACGAGATTTAAAATTAGCTCAGCTTATAAATAGACCATAAAACGAGAACCTAAAAAAATTTTAAGTTTTTGTATTCCTTATTCATATTTTATTTGTTATTGTTTAAACATGTTTAACTTTATTTAATTTCATGACTTTCCATTCTTCACAGGCTCACTTATACCTACATATATACCAAAATAATCAAACAGCTTTTTCTCAAGTCTCAAGAAAATATCTTTCAGTTACTTTCTTTGCCATATATATGAAGAAAAAATATAGAATTTACTATTAGTCAATAAAACCATATCTAAGAGTCGTGACTGGATGGAATTTGATAAAATCACGTGTAAATAACTGGCAAATGAAGTGAAGTATATAAAAATTATAATTATTTTACTGTGCCAAAAAAAAACGACATGTTGTTTAGATACAAATATTTTTTTAGGAATCATACTTTTTTTGGACTTGTACTTTCTTAGTTGTTCGTAATTTCAATATAACGTGGTCTTAATATTTTTATGAAAGAATTTTAAAAAATAATTCCCTATCATACAGTATCACCTTAACAACCAACAAATCTCATCACGAAAAGTTCAGGCTAGAATTTGGCTAATGGTTATGGCTTACATTACAATATTTCTCAGAGTTAATTTAAATTTTTACATTAAATAAAGTCCAAGTTTTATAATACACTTTTTTTTAATTCATCTACTTCCTTGTCATTTCTATGATCATTATTAATTATCAAAAACAATTTACCTCACTGGGTCGAAAATAAATAAATATTAAAGACTTTTTTTTAATAAAATAAATCTTATACATACTTATAGAAAAAATAGAGTAAGAAATCAGTTAATATTGTTTCAAAGTACTCAAGTTAGAAACAATCTATTCTGGTTATAATGGTTTGGTTTAAATTATATCGTTTTAAAAAACAATTATACATATGTATATACAAGATTTTTACAGACTCCATAGACAAATTTATAAAGTATGCTAAGAAAAATTGTTATGGTAACCAATGGACAGCGCCATCTATCATCTCAATGAAACTATACAACATGACATATTACACACAATTTCATTTTTCTTAATAAACTATATTATTGTATCTTTAAAAGTAATTGAATAATTCTTAAAGTTGTTTCTATAAAAATAACTAAACGTTTTCTGAACCAATTTTTTTTATTACATAAGTCACTAAGTACATCATTGGGTTTTTTGCTCCAAATTAGAAATATATAAATTATTTAGGGATATGTAATAATTATAATGGCAATGTATCAAGATAAGATATATATATTTTGATGGGAAAAACCCAGAGCAATACATGTGATGAATACAATGTTATAATTTCCTCCTACACAGAAAGAATTATATCACTTTTTCCTATATTTTTTTTATATATGTTAATTTTTTTTTCAATGATTAAAACAAAAAAAATAATTAAATAATATGATAAGTAAAACTACAGAATAAATTTTAAATTAATTCATTTAAATGTAGATTACATATTTTTTTGTATTCATACTTTGTTTGTATGTAATTTTTATAAGTGATTACTTTTGTAATAAATAATAAGTGTTTAGGAAAAAATATTTCCTGTTTCTGTTAACATTTAACACCTAATATTAATTCAAAAAGGTTTTGTGATAATTATAGGACAATTATATTACATAGAAACCACAGTTTTGTCAAAGGAAAACTAATGTATTGTTACATTTGATGATTTCCAACAAAAAAAAATTAAAGTAGCTTCCTATGAAAGAACACACCATATAAAAAAAATTATTCAAGCCACAGTAAAAATGAAAAGTATCATATATGACTGGATATTAGCTAAAGGATAATGAAGACCTTATGGTCTTCAAGTCTTCATACAGCATTTTGTATTTTCTTCAAATAAAGGGTTATGTATTTATTGTCAAAAAGGCACATTTTTATAAACTGATGACAAATCATTAAAATATTCCAAAAAAACTGTAAAAAGACAATGCCAAAGATGGAATTACCTATACTTTAATGGATTTTTTTTTTTCATAAAAGATAGGATTTTTTAGTAACATCTGAGTTATTATATTTGTTGATAAATAAACAAAAATCATATTGCTTGCCCTCAGAAACTATTATACATAGATAGTTCAAATACTGATACATCATTTCAATAAAAACGGAAAATTGTCTTCATATTCCAAACAATTGTATGAAACCTTATCAAATATAACTTTCATATTATCATCTGACAAAGAACTAAATTGCTAACAAAACTTAACCATCCATATCATTACAAAGATTTTATTAAGCCCATTTGGATTTGCTTAGGATTATAAGCAGTCCATTAAGGCTATAATATTCTGAACGGATATATTCAACCTGCTTGGACTATATTCAGCATTTCTAGTCTAAATTCAGCAAGTTTGGACTGTATCAATAAAACAATTCAGTACAATGAGTTACAATGCTTTGGATTATGAGCAATCTGTTACAAGTAATATTCTATGAATTTGGACTATATTCAACCTGTATAGACTATAATCAGCATTTTCAGTTTATATTCAGCCAGTTTGGAGCATTGATATATACTAATGGACATGCCTTAGAGATGAGAATTATGGTACTCCGAATGAAAGAGAGGAAACGAAGTTTCGGTCTATCTTTATCTCTCTCAAATTTAACTCATTACTTAAATATACTAGAATCATCTATGAGGAAAGAGATAGTGTTAGACCGAAAGCATAGGCCATCTCTCTCACTCTTTTCAAACCAAAAAAATTACTGCAGATTATACGCGTACAGCAATCTGTTATGACTAATATTCTATCAATTTGAATGTTTTCAAGCAGCTTGGACTATATTTAGCATTTTTAGTTTATATTAAGCCAATTTTTATTGTCAAAAAAAGTTCAATTCATTCCTATGCTTTCACCATGGTGCAATACTTTGTGTTATAAGCAGTCTGTTATAACTACAATTCTATGAATTTGGACTATATTCAAGCCATATAGACTATATTCAGCATTTTCAGTCTATATTCATCCAGTTTGGAGTGTCAAAATAAGTTCAGTTCATTCTTATGCTCCTAATAGTACAATTTCAGTCCATGGTCCACCCACCTTGTTGACTTTGAGCGTGTGCGGATGGGGCTCCGCTAACAGGACGCGCAGATCTCGCAGCAGGCGGCGGAGGCGGGCGGGGAAGCGCGGATCACGGAGATCCCCCTCACAGGTAACAACCACGCCGCACGATCCGCCGCCAGCCGTGCCTAACCCATCGCTATCCGCTGCCATGCTGGAAAACATTTTGTATACATTAATACATTATATATATACATACTATACTATAATATCTGGTGTCCGTAGAGCACCTAAATAGGTGTAATGAAGACAGAAAATGTTAACATGTTCTCTGCTATTGTGATCAGTGCTGACCGACACAGCCAGGAAATAGATCTTTTTTCTCAGCATAGAATGTATTATGTGTTATCTGTATATTCTTCTCTACCATTGGTCAAGTGTATCATACAATAAATAACATAATATTATTATAAATGGAAATTTCATATGACCAGCAACAGTTTTTACTTCACTATTTTGGGTTTGACATGACATATGTTGGGGGTAAGTATAATTAATATTTTGCTCATCATGAAAATCAATGAACAAATACCTTTTCAATATATTTGGCACAAAACTTATATATCACAATTTTTTCAGTAGATAAATAAATAGTTTAAAAAAGTATTTATAGTCTATTGAAAACTGTCATAGATCATAAAAAATTTCATCAGCATTACAACTAAATACATTTTTATATATATATACTCATTAATATTATGATAATAAAATAATTAATTTTTATATTGATTAAAGTGAAAGAAAAAATATATAATTTATTTTGTGTACTTAAACATATACTTTTTATAAAGAAATTTTATAATTAGGAAATTTCTATTACAATATTATACTATATAAATGTTATTAAAATCAATGAGTTATGTGTTTTAATTAATGAAATAAATTAAAATGATTGAAGTAATTATTATCTGTAATTTTATTATCACTTAATATTTTTATTAGAATAAAAAAAATGTTTATCAAATTTAAAACAAAACAGTGTGTAAATTATCATTTTCATTTTAAAATTAGAGGCTTTGTTAAAAACAATTATAAAATATGGTAACATGAATTTAAATTTTATAAAAATAAGATCAACTAGAAAAAAAAACAGTCTTTTATGTGACCAATATATAAATATATAATTTTGATAGCTTTATTTATTATAAAATTACTATCAAAGTTAATTAATAAACTAAACTCTATAGAACTATGTTTTAAATTAGTTTTTTATATACAAAATATTATAGTTTTGTATATTCATTGATTGATCATCAATCAACATATGTATAAAAACATACATATAATGTTCCTATATAATTTCTTTTAACACTTCAGAGTGTAATTGTATACTTAAAAATAGTTTTGTATCCTATTATAAGTTATGAAAATCATTATATGATATATCTAATCAAGAATATAAATTAAAGTGATTGTCTACCTTTTTCTTGTATATAGTTTTTACAAAATAAATGCTTAGAAACACATCTTTAAAGTTAATTATTGTATATTTTTATTAGAACTATTTTAATGGTTTATCCTATCATGGTTTCATAGTATTTTGTATTTAAGTGGTTTCATAGTATATTGATTATACTCAGAATTTTTTATGTCAGTCTAAATAATAATTAATAATACTTGTTACAAACTTAAATTCAAAAACATCACAGCTGTTATAATCAAGAAATTTAATAAAAAATTTATTGTAAAATTTGAGTCAGAATTTTTACAAATTATTTATTAGATATAAATTATTGTCTGTTCATTATTAAGTAGTAGAAATTAATGAGTTGCGTTATCTTTGCTAAACCCAACACAATAAAAAATGGAAAATTCTAAAAATATTATGTTAATTAGTATATTTTATTTCAATACAACCAAATACAAAATCTATAAACATGTGGATGGTATATTTAAAATAATATGAGATTCTTATCACGCAATCTATAAATTATAACCTATATGCAAAAAATCATTAGATTATTAATAATAAGATTATATAAAAATATTAATATAATATAGGTATGCTAAAACATGACAGATTTTAGTCTGAAATTAATTAAAAGTATATTAGGTACAGTCTTTTTAATGCTCATATGAAGCAATTAGAAATAATAAAATTATAGTTAAATAGGTTCAAATAATTATAATTATCCATATATGTATAATATCTGGATATACTATAACTTGTGACAGAGTGTAGTTGTAATCTGTAAGAAGCAATAACCTCACTTTCAAAAACACGATTGACACATAAAAACCGCTAATAAGACTACCAGCTAGTTGTAGGGTTGGTATATTATGATCCTTACCAAATTTTTATGCATCAACTATTTCCTATTCCACTACAAGGTCGACTAAACATCGTTACACAACTTTTTTTCATTACGTATTTTATATATAATAGTGGAAAGTTCATTGGAACGAGCCGCCGATTGTGTTTTAAATGCACGGGGCACACAACCACCGCCGGCCGACCTACTGTCACCCTCTAATGTGTCCATTTTGTAAATTTGTCCGAAACACCACTAGATCGCACAACCAACAAAATGTAAATAAACGAACAAAATAATCAACTCACCTATCATACAATGTCACATTCCGCTCAATAACACACAAGTTCTATTGTCTCGTGTCCCAAATCATCCTGTAAAATCAAGTGCAACATCACTATCCGGCTTGGACGTAAAGCAAAATCGGTCCTATGGTCACTGTGTCCACTACTACCAAAACATATGATATGCCACAATTGTTCCGCCCCAGGATTTCCCGGGGCACTGTCCTTCTTTTAATATCAACTTTTCACATGGGATCACCCAGCTAAAAACACGCGAATTTCCTCACGAATCAAAACCACTGATTTATGTTTCAGTGACGCAAAGCTCATATATCGTGAAGAGCAGCAGCCATTTTGAAATGTACGGGGAGTTCAGTCACGGCATGGAACATTAGTAGTAATTTACTACACTTCCCGTCTCTTCCTTCATCCCAAACTTAGTGCGCTAATAAATTAACTTCATACAGATTTCATTTTTACACTTTAGGTCACAGAACTTCACTCCATTTTCTTATTGAAACTATCCAAAACAACCTAAGCGACATCCGATAATTCCAGCTTACCCCATTTGCATGACACACATAGAATTTGAAAAAAACACTCGAAACACATAAAGACGTAGTTAAAACCGTCGCGTCGAAACATCAGAAGTTAAAGCATCGCATCAGTATAACAGTCCATTAGAAAAATCGCTAAAAAGATTAGTATATATTTTACAAATAGTTATTCGGTACGAACAATAACAACGGACGCCATTTGCAATTTTCAACTTGACATGCGCATTGACTCGATGTAGACAAACATACGTGACGTCGCTTTTAAAACAAGTAGTTTATCCAATTAATTATTGTGAGCCATCAAAAATATTTTTTCTTTCAATAAGTCACGGAAAAGTACAAATTAATATAATTATTTTTTTTGTTCAAAAGAAACTTTCCAAAATCTTATACTATGTCTACAACAATACGTCCTTACAATGTTAAATATCTAAAAGTTCATGCTCCATTGCAAGTTCTTTGTGATTGGTGTAGAGAGTAATCTCCATATTTTTTAAATAGTATAAGCATTTTTGATTGGCTGCCGCCATGAAACGTGAGGACACGAATCACTTCCTGTTGATATAATTTTATTTGTTCAACCAATTTTATTTAACAAAATTTTTATAAATATGGATTAATAATCTTACTTCATCACAGAAACAGTTTTTTTCCATGCATATAAATAAAAGAGCGATTATAAAGTACACTTGAAAAAAATCAGATATTTAAATGAAATAATTTATTTAAAATTAAAGTCACAAATATTAGACAAAGCTTATTTCTTCATGTGTTGATTATCTTTTAAAGACTCTTTTGGTACCGCTTGAAATAAGCCTTTTCGTGCCATTTCATCGCCATAGTCTTCTAATTCAGCTCTCCTGTTAAATGAAAACAAACAATTACAATCTTATAATTAACATTAGAATTTTTACACCAATATTAAAATGATAAAAGTCAACTTACAAAACAGACTATGTATTATTATATAAAATAAATAAATATTGTCCGATAGGGTTTTCCTTTTTAATTTATGGTATATGCAAAAGACCAAAATTTGTAATAAAATTTTATATTTTGTTCAGTCTGCTAATTTGGATTATTTGATTTATGTAACAAACACATGCGTATCTTAAATTTTAGTGTGAAAGTAATATATTAGTAACTTAGAATAAATAATCTGTCTATAAGAAAGGCTGAACTTCTAAAGTAAAATCATAATTCATAAAATGTCATTTGTCAAAGTCTAACAGTAAAGTAACAACTAGTAAGTAGCATCTGGTTAGAATTTTCATTGAATTTTGTATTCAAAGTGTTATTAGTTTTATTGAAATTATATAACTTAATACACTATTACTACTCCATCAATCCCGTCAACAAGGAATGTGTTATCTCTTAACAGGTATTTGAATTATAAAAAAACGTTTTGTTATATATTTTTTGGCTTCATGTAAACATAAATGGTTCAAGTAAATATCAATGCCGACACAAAGTAATTGTGGGTTTCTCATTTATATTACTTAAAAATGGCGTTTTAAGTTTTAACTATTTATTTCCTTTTAAGTATTGTTTGACGATCATCTAATACGAAATTTTCAATATAATATAAAAATGTTTATTACGTCTTCATTCTAAGATTTGATAGAAAATTAACAAGTTATATACATTGATATTATATAGAATACTTACGCATAATATTCCTTGTACTTGTGTCTTCTTGGAGCACCGATAAAGAAGTATACACATGCTCCAGCTATGCATGATAGAGTTAGAGCTTGTGCGAGGATGCGTTTGGTTTGATTTAAGTGCAGTCTTCTCATGATGGGTTTCACGAGGCATGGTGGTAGTGGGGGCTGCGGAGGGCATATTTGCTGGCAAGGATCGGGAGTTGGTGCCGGGCAACTCATTCTGAATAAAATTACATAATAGTCTTTGTTTGATAGTAATATATTGTTTATAACTAATTACAATACTGAAATGTTATGTAATTCAGTTAATATGTAACAAAAAGATGATAATCAATGAAATATTATGCTAAAATATCATTGATATAGGCTATGTAATAAAAAAGTAGTTCCAGAATTTTTATATATATGTCGGAGATAAGGAATCATCATGACCATCGTCAGCCATAGTATAATCCTGTAAGCGTATCTTTTGGGTGAACAAGTAATATAAGAAATTAAATCACTTTGTTTACTTTAATAATTATCTTCACACTATATTTAAGTCATAATGAATCACGTTCAATATGCTAAGTTGCAGCCCTCTACCGGAACTCGTGCTGCGCTTCGTTTGCTGTCTATACTCATGACCGTTTCTGACATATACATAAATTAAGGATTGTTTATAAGAATTTTTCTAAATAAATAATTATCTATCTCTAAATTACAGGTGAATATAAATGAAAGATGGCCCAAAGCTCACACGGAGGCAGCCATCGACCGCGTCGCGATCATGATGGCAGTTCGATACGGTACACAAACTCAGACTGGGAAGCCAAGGAGGTGCTCTACCAACGAGAATTGGATGAATCACGAGCAAGAGCCACACAGATGGAAAAAACAATGAGATGGTGGTCAGACTGCACAGCCAATTGGAGAGAGAAATGGAGCAAGGTACGTAATGAAAGAAACAAAGCTCGGGAAGAAGCTAAACAGTTCAAAAACAAAGCTGATGCTCTAGCCAAAGAGTTAGCGGCTATCAAGACTGAGAAGACAGATCTGGAACAGCAATTAATTGAGCTTAAAAAAGATAATGAAACACTATTAAGTATAGGTGAGAGCCGAATAGTCTCTGGTGAGTTGACAGCTGATGATGGAGTGGAATTGAGAAGGAAGAATCATGGATATGTATCTCCAAACGAGCAGTCTATGAGGCAACGGGCATCGTTAGATTCACATAAATTCTCAAATGTCGATAATGTACTTGCAAACAAATTAAGTGAAATGCGTCTCCGTTTGGATGAAGCATGCAAGAGTTTGCAGAGCGAGAAAGATCAGAAAACTTATCTATTATCCAAAATAGAGACGCTGACAGCTGAATTACACGACACCAAGATGGAGTTGACGCATAATGATAGGACATTGGGGTCGGATTCTAGTCACAGTGAAGTGGAAAGATTGCAGAATGAACTGCAAGACGAGATAGCAGCTAAACAGGTGCTAGAAGAAAAGATAGCGGAATACAAAATGGAGATTGAGAGATTAAAGTCTGAAAACACGATACAATGGAGTAAACGAGAGTTGCTGGAAACTGAGAACATAGCTATATTGAGGGACAATAAGAAATTATACAGCCAAGTCTGCGAGCTTCGTGAACAAATACATAAATTGAATAGAATATCAGACGGCAGTGCGTACGGCGTGCCCTTCGAGCATAGATTAGATTCAAACGTGCTGTACACGAGGAAGACCAGCGTCAGTCCAAGGTCACACGAGTCAAGCAACGGCTCGTCAGAAGCAAATCTAACGAATTACGACACCAAAACAACTTCAGGCGAGGAAGATGAACTGGCGATAATAGAAAAACACGACAAACATTGAAATTACCTTAAAATAACGTAGGAAACAATGAGTATTGAACGATCTTGATAGATTCGATGTTGTCAATTTTTTTTTCACAACTAAAATAGGTTTTAATGAATATATAAAAAAATAAATGCGAACGCTTGGCAAAATATCATTCAGTACAAATAAAAAAATATAATATGATAAAAATACGATTTAAATACATTCCACGAATTCTGACAGAGTTTAGATTGAGTGTTAGTTCATTTTACGGCCATTATTCGTTTGTTCAAAATAGTGATAGACTGGCCTAAGTATATAAAACGGAGAAACGTATTATTATAATTAGCTTTTAGTATATCTATGATATAAAGTGTTGTTGTGCTGTTGTTATTGATGTAGTAATAATAAAAAAACACCAAAAAAAATTAAACAATATTTTCACATCACAAAAGTTTTTTGTCAATGGTCGAGAATTTTCTGGAACGTTCTTGCATCACAGGCCTAATGTGTGTATTCTTTACCTAATGATTGTTAACATTTTTTATAGTCTAGTTTTATTATTCTATATGAAGTCACAAAATGGAAGATAATTATGAATAAACAGAAGTGAAATAATTGGCAAATAAGTTGGATATGCCTAGTCATTAGAGAACAATCATAATATTAATTAATTTACTTCAAATAAATAGGTTGTATATTCTTTGACATTGGCAGAATAATTAGATTACATTCAAAAATAATCTTGCTTTAAAAAAAAATTGTCTGAAATATTATTCCATTATGTAGATATTTTAAGAAGCATTATTTATTTTGCTAGACTTGCCGTTAGACGTAAAAAATGTGCCAACTCTTGTTCTACACTTTATGAAGGCTTTTTGAGTATATTTTTTTCTCTTAACAAATGACGAATGAAATTACTAGTGTTTTAGTATTGTGTCTCATATGATTCGAAGAGATTATTTTTAACGATATTTTCATAACAAATAATTATACAATTAATATAATGTGTGTTGTACACGATTATGTTACGCCTAATTTTTATTGGAATTTAATATAAGTGATGTCAGAAATTATGATAAAAATAAATACATGTGAATTATGTATAGTTTTATTTCATATTTTGCTTTCATTTCCCATTCGGTCAATATTACTGTCGTCATTGTTTTTATCATTAAAGTTAGCGACAGGTAACATTCCTAAACGTCTGAATTTAGATTTCAGATGTAGTCTTTTGAGTTCTCTTTTCTCTGGTTTTTTTATTTTGGTTTTGAGTGTTGTTCTGTTAATTTCGTTTGTTGAATCAGTACTTCTACCAGGTTCATTGTCATCATTATCATATCCTGGATTCCCTACATCAATGAACTCAATCTCCATGTTCCTCCCTACATCATCATCTAAAACCACAGCCGTAGGATCTATTTGTATGTCCGTTTCCTTTGTGTGTGTGATTCCACCTTCTGTACCTTCAGCTATGACCTTCGCTGCAACTTTCTGGAATTCCTCCAAATCTATATCAGCGTTTTCTGTATCAGTTTGTGTATTTTCCATACAAATCTTTTCTTTGGTTGCTAATTTCACATTCAATTTCCGTTTTCTTGGTGAGCTGGTCATTCTTTTGGTTGGACTACAAGATTTGATTTTACCGGTTGGTGTTTTCAAATCACTCTTCCCGTGTTTATTTGTTCTTGGACTTGAATTCGTGATCGTTGATGGCCTGGAAGAAGTTCCTTTTTAGTTTCTTTGAGTATGATAGAGTTGAAAGTTTTGTAATGTAGTTTATCTATTTCAATGTTGGAAAAAACGTATTTCTGAATACCCTATTGCCAAGAGTGGTCTCCTTCTTCTACCTGGCAACTTCCCGGCTTTAGCCAGGGTCTGCCTTACATATTGTGAATAATTTTGGCTAATTGTTTTTACGACCGGCCGTCTGCCTGACATCAACCCTCTTTGGGAATTAATAATTGCCAAGAAAGGTGATTGGTAATATTTCTTGCTAGCAAAAAGAATGAAAAATGACATGGTACATCCAGAATTGGTGATGATTTACCAACAAATACCAATTATTTGGTTATGCTCGAAAGAATTTTTGCTCATACTAATCTCAGATACTTTAAGTCAGATTTTAAAGAATCTTTTCGTTTTTACGATCTAAGCAACTAAATAAGGCGTTTGTTCCACCTCAATTATTTGGCTTATATTTTTTTATCAGATCAGAAATAATGTTACGAAGGTATTCCTTAATAAACCTAAATTTTATTACAAATATGAACATATACAGGGTGACTTGTGAATTACTATCGATACTTGAGGACGTGATATTTGACGATCATATATGACGAAATAAAAATTAATATAACATAAATATTAATAAACTTCTAAGTAAAGTTAACCAAAAGTTATGTAATTAATTACGCATCGTGTGAACACCCTACAGATTAGGTATACACACACGCGTGCGGCGGCGTAGTGTTGTATCAGCACGCCGCCGCACGCGTCCACACGTGGAACGTGTCCACACTATTTATTTATACGGAAATTTGGTCAAAAATTAAGTACCTATTTTTTTTACATAATTCGAATGAGAATCATGTACCGAGTATTCTCCTTAAATATTGATAGTAATTCACCAGTCACCCCGTATATTGTATGGAATAATTTGTCTGATATGGCCCTCGCATATCGAAAAGAGTAAATTTTGATGTAGCATGAGATTATAAATAAATTACTATGTGTGTATATGGTAACACTAAAATCACTAAATACAAAGAAAACATTATCAAACATTTTAACCCCTTTCCCTATGCAGATTAAATAAATTATTTAACAATATACATTATGAGAGTGCCACCACTATAGAAGTGTTGCTAGAACTAAAAAATCTTTAATAAATTTCTATGTATATGGTGAAAATAGATATTTTTTATATAATGTTCAACACATACCTATCTTCAACTGCTGTGAGATGTCTCATGCCGTCCACAGTATTCGTCAAAGCCCTGGTCTTAATAGCTTGCACCATGTTGTAATGCTCATCGGGTGATTCACCTATATATAAAAAAAACTATTATTTTGTTGGTTTACATGTCCTTTCTATTATAATTCAAATTCTGTATTGATTTTGTTGATAATTGTTAAAATCTTTAATTTTAATTATATATAATTTCATTTAAGATTTTAATTGCAAAGAAAATAATTTGTTTTACTATAAAGCTATATACATATTTTTTCAATGAATTTAATGTATAAATTGCAGGTAACGCATTTATGCTGTACTCTGTAACAAAGATATTATTATGATATCCATATAAGACACTTAGTACTTAATACAAAATATTATTAATTATATAATCTGTCTATACTATATATAATCTACACTCTTTTTATAATACTTTTATGTATCTTTACTATACCACCATCATCATCATCTATTGCTCCATTGATGATTTTCTTCAAGGTAACATTTAACTCAAACGGCAAGTTTTCATTAATATACTGCAGACTGGGATCCGGCCGACCACCAACTATAATATATAATTATATTTATACTGAAATTAGTATATTTACCACCAATATATAAGTGATTGTGTCAAGATTTTAGTTATATACATACTCTTAAAATTATTAAAATCCCTACGAATATTATAAATGCGAAAGTAACTCTGTCTGTTTGTTACGCTTTCACGCCTAAACCACTGAACTGATTTTAACGAAATTTGGTACAGAGATAGAGTTGACCTTGAGAAAGAACATAGGATAGTTTTTATCCCTTAAGAAAGGTTCTATTGGAAACGCGATATAACCAAACACCACGCGGGCGAAGCTGCGGACGGAAAGCTAGTTACTAATAGTGTTTCATTAAAAATTAATAGAAATACTAAAATTTATCATTGAGTTTTTAATTAAGTGATTAAATTTAACTAAATTAAAATTGTTATTCAACGTAAGTACAATGATCTCACAACAAATTGGCAAGTACCAATACATGAACAAATTGTAACAGTATTGTATATGAATGAAAACAAATATATTAATTGTAAATTACCTTTGAGCATGTCTTTAGCTTTTGTATACTGTCTCGTGACTGTTCCTAGATCTCTTATAATATCCAGCTCTTCGTTTTGTCGGTAGAACACACCTTTAGGTCGGACTCCCAACTTGTCTATACTTGTGTAACCTGTATTATATTAATAAATATCATTTAGGATGTACCCAACTTGTTAATTAAATGAAGACTTACTTTATGTAGAATTCTTGTTATTTTTTTTCTTATAAACAGAGTTTATACTTATATATTTAATTACATAAAAACAAATAAAGATTTCGTCATTTTTATTGGCTGTAAATAGCTGATGAATTATTGTCCCAGAGAAGCATGTCAAAGTAAAAAAAAATCTTTACAGTACTTAATAATGGTGGAATTTCTATAAAACTCTTGTTCTGCCTTCATATTAATGTACATTTATACATAAAGATTCAACCATAGTTCATACACTATACAATATTACTAACCATCCAAATATTTCCTCAAAACGGACTCCATACCCCTTTCCCTCTCGACAGCATGATATTGGGTGTACTTAATAAGTATTTCACCAAGTATATAAAGTAAATCAAGTCTTTTGTCCTGTCTCGCAACTAATTCTATTCTTTTAATGGCTGGTATATCATCAGGGGTGAGTCGAAGCCATGCAAAGTTAGGATATGGCTGTAGAGTCAGCACTCCATATAATAGAAATAAACCTGCCACTGATTCCTACAAAAATATTTATATTATATGATCTTTTTAGTATATAGGTCATTAACTTTGTATATTTTAATCACTGAATACTATATAATATTATTTTGTTAGTAGAATAATGCATAATGTTATAGTTGTGTGAATTTTACCTCAAAATTTTCAGTATTTTTCAACAGATATTGTTTACTTATATACACAAGTTCTTCTGATAGTTCAGCTATCTCTGCACCTGTACTTCTACCGCTGCAATAATTTGAAAAATTTTCATTTATTACTTTCAAAAGTATTAAAATAACAATAATTTATGTTATTGCGCATTTCAGATAATTATTATATTAAAGAATTACTACATCGATCTACATTGTGATCATTGAGATATCAGTAAATAAAGAAGACATAACACAAGTTTTTCTTCATGATTAGAGATAATAGTGATATGTACTTTGAAAATTATAAGACATACTGAAAAATCATACTAAAATCCAGGTCCTTCCAAATTTTGCAGAATTCCTGATAATCTAACTTGGACAGCTGTAGACATTGGTGTATCAGTTCATCACAATCAGTCGCGAATCCATCGGCTATGTAAACTTTATATATGTGGTGATTGTAACCTGGGAAGATTAACAACTTTGTGTACAATAAGCATTTAACTTCAAAATATTCTTTTTATTTTATGACATCACACATAAAAAACATATAATCACGATAAATATTTCGGGACAGCGTTTAGTTAATTATAAATAACTTAAATGTGAATTTACTAAAAACAGTACAATTGTAGACTCTTAATAATATTAAAAAAAAAAAAATATTGAATTCTTGGACATTAATTACTGAACTTACGTGACATATTTGTGATACAATGTAATTTGTCTGCTTCGAGGAATTTTTAATTTTCCTTATATTATTTCACACACGTTATAAACACTTCTTTTATAAATTATGGCTTAACCAACACTGGAATCCTGGAATATTTTGGCAATTTCTACGTTTTCAGGTATCGGGCAAATAGAGTATTTTATGGAAAAAACACGAAGAAGTCTCGTCTTTTTCTTTTGAAAAGTAAACACTAGGTATCATAACACTTCATTGTCAATGTCAAAAATTACATTCAACCCCCTGGTATTTGAATTTATAAATGTCAAGTCGTCTTTATACAGAATATATAATTATATAAAAAAATCGAAATGAGTAAGAATCAATAGATTGTAATTGTTAACATGGTTATTTATCTAAAGTTTTAAAAATTACAGATATATATATGTTGGCATTTAAAATGCACAATTTTCAGCTCTCCTATTTTTTCACAATTTACTGATACATGGTATTATCATATTGCGTATTCTTATACGTTGTGTAATTTTGTTGTTATGTTCATTTAAAAGCTGGTATTTCTTTTCAATTGGAAATCGTCACTATAAAAGGAAAAAATAGCAGATAAAGAAAAAAACAGTTTTTCGGGCACTAGTTTTTTCTTAATTTATATTTAGTTTTTTCAACATTTCGGTTACTTTGCAGCAACTGTGAAAGTTTTTTCCCGTCTGCCCGTGTTGGAGTACTGTAAAACAACCAATATTTCGGGAACATGTACATAATAAATAAAGAATACGCGTAGTATCCGAAACACTTTTTGTTTGTGTTTACGCGATAATCTTATACATCAAGGTTAAAGGTTTTCTAATTTGATTTATATATCAGAAAAGTATAGCTTGTTTAAAATACAAGAATATGAAATTTAAGGGTTCATTACACTCATTTTTATAACTTCAATATACTTAAAGTCAAGAAATAACTGTACAATGGCTTATACGAGTACTTTTATCGTCATTATGAATAAAACAAGGATATAATTGATTAGACTTTAATTATCTACATAAAATAAATCCCGTTAACAACACAACACTGCAGGTAACGAATGAAACACTGATAATGCTTATGTTTTATTGACGCATCAGGAACTGTGGAATCTTGATGGATGCGCATCGTTGTTTAATCACTACTAATGTATACTATATAGTGTTTAAAGGGGCGCCTTCTCGGTAAGCTTGTACCAGTGTCCACATTCACAGCGGCGTGGGTGATCCTGGAAGAATTATATATTAGTATACATACATATATATGTAGTAGTATATATGTATACATTTCATTGGAGATCCACGTAACTACTATTGGATAATTACTAATAAATTAAACACTAAATAATTACTAATTGTGAAAAAAATACCTTAAAAGTTAGTAATATAGAAAATATTTCAGCTCAATCTTTCTTCTGATAATTTGCTTTCAATGTAGATAAGCGGAATTATCCAATGCTAGTTACACGGATTTACACTATCCCAACAATATAAAGTTTCTAGAACTAATCATTAACATGCCTAAGTCTCTTTCTGTATATAACTACTAACTAGGCACATTTAGTTCTAGAAATTACCACATACTTGTACATAAGAATAAAAGATTATATAAATTATATCTGTATTAAATTTTGTCTTTACAAATTAGCTATAGAATTCTCTATTAATTTTGTGATTAAAGTTTTTAGTACAATGGTTTAATAAATTAATATTATTTTTACACAAACAAATATGGCATATATGTGTATGCGGGAATGATTCAATATATTATTATAAAAAGCAAAGAAAAACTCCTCTTTTTTCTATTTCTATTGAGCTGAAGTTATAGTTATAATAATTATAAGTATCTTTTAACTATTATGGCTTATATAAGTCATTAAACTTAATGTTATATCAAATTAGAATGGAATTAATCATTTTTTGAGTTAATATTAATCATGTACCTTATGTATCCACATCCAGTTAATAGCAGTTGAGTGTTCCTCGCCTGAAATTATACAATTTTGAAATGTTATGCAATCCATTATGAGTTATATCAGTCTTTCCCAAAGTGGACAAAAACACCCTAGGTGGGTGCTGTAGGCTTAAAAGGGTTGAAAGAGACCCAGAAAATATGATCCCCACCATATTTTTTTGAAGTTTTTGTACGGGGCTGGGGTAATTTGTAATTTCATTAAGCTAGGAACATTATATTGGTTTTTCAGTAGGTAAGAAAATGGGGATGCTAAAAAATAATTTATTTTGAAATTGGGCAGTGGACAAAGTAAGTTTGGGAACCACTGATATAGAAAGATATTTACTAGGAAAAAAATATTCTGTTCTTACATATGACTATTTTCATTAAAGTTTATATGCATTGAAAATATATATAATGGATACATACATATACATCCTACAATTCTAGCGTCAAAGCAGGAGGGAACTAGTGTTGGTTGGTCGCGGGTGCCGGCGGCTTTCTTGAGAACTTTCATGTTGAAAGGATCGTCATTACCGGACTGCATCGCCAGCAGTTCCTTTTTCTCGAGACCAGTGGCATGCTCGAGGGGGTCAGGCATCACTTGAGAAGAGAAAATAAGTTTAAGGCATTAGTAAAAAAGAAATATATAAATACACATACCTAGTTAGGTTCTGATAAGTACTTAAACAATTTTAATGTGATATGAAACCAATAATATTTACTTTGACTGTAATTTTATTATATTTGTGTGTAATTTAGACTCTTTTTTTAGTTCAAATTTACTTACGTGTTTTAAAGTCATTTCATCTCAACACTATTTCAAAAGTAATTTTACATATAATATATTGTTTGGCTAACAGTCTGAGGAATGAATGTGTGAATGTATTTGTCTTTGATTGTAAGAGAGCTAGGATGTTCCCATCACAAAGAGAAGTATAATTATTATAATTTTGATGGCATTATCAAATTTATTCACAATTGATAAGATATACATAACCTTAATACTGATTTTGGATTATCCCCTGTATATAAGCCTATAATATGTATTTTTAATTATGCACATCATTTGTTATGTGAAAAATTTAGTTTTTTAGTCATACATAAATATGTAATTTATTATGTAAATAATAAATCCTAGTAAGAATTTTTGTAAATCAATAGTGAAATGTGCGTAGCTTATTGTCATTTTCAATGACACAATTTCGTTACTCTAATGAAGGGAACAACCATGAAAATCATGGAAAAAATGGTTGTGTAGTATTTATAAAGGAAAAACTATTGACAAATTGTTTGTAAATTAATTAACTTGGTTTCCTTTTGGGAGTAAATGATATTTTTTGACATTACGTAACGTAACAATGACAGATATGGTTAAGAATTTTACTTGTATATACATTCTTACTTTTGTCAGCATATCCCCGTCGGGCTGTTGAAAGGAGCGCACTCCTTACAGCATTTGCACGGATAATTTGTCTACACAACGAAGCCATTGCACTTTATTTCTCACTAGACCGCTTCTTACGATAGCCAGTGGAGTTTAAGGGTTTATAATAGTGTTGCTATAACTAAAACTAAAAATTTTATTTTTGTCGGTATTCTAAAAAATACCGATTTTATAAAAAAAATGATAATTATTTTATTTTGTTACTATTTCTTGGACTACGTTCTAAATGAAGACCAATTTTAATTTTTAATTCATTGAAAAACTACCCCAGTATAAATATTTGAGCCCAACATATTTGATTTAAAATATTGAGTATAATTTTCAACTTAACATTTTAAATAATTAAGTGATTGTTCTAATTTGTTTTTTAAAAAGTGAAATTTGATTCTTATCAGGAAATTGTTATAAGCTTTAAACATAGACTATTCATTTTGAGAAATGGTGTATTTTATTGGTAAATTAAATCATGGGAAATGGTTAACATCGATTATTACTATAAATATAATAGTTCTCTAAAGCTTATTGACTTAAATAGCAAATTTAATAATACATAAATAAAGAATCAAGATAAGATTTCAACCATACAAGAGAATAAGTCCAGCTTCCTTTTTAGAAACATGGTAGAAACTGTCACAGACAAAATAAAAGGAAAGCTTCGTTTATAAATTCACATTTATACCTTTTTACGACTAAATATTAAAGGGAACCAAGCGTGCAATAAAACAAATTATTATAGAAAATATTTTCATATAATGAAAGTAGATATTTTAAATTGTCAGAACAATAATTGTTAAAGATTTGTTTTAAGGATAATATTTTTATAATAAAAAGTTAGTTATTTTTTTTTAAATATTTAACATGTATGTTTCAGTTGAGATTTATATTTGATAGATTAAAATATTTTTTTTATTATGATTGAAAAAAGTCAATGCATTTTAGTTTTTTAAAAATGTAATTTAAATTTCATTTTGAATATGATAGAGAGATAAAGTACGGAGATATTAAAAAGTTTCAATAGAATTTGAAAGACTATCAGTCATTACTTAATACAGAACATATAAATCTCATATAGGGCTTAGCATGCACATAAACTTGAAAAATCTTTTCACTTCACTAAGAGTGGTTTAAAAATTTAGAAAAAGTGTTTTGTTAATATATTAAAAATGTAATATTTTTTAAATATTAGTAGAGGGTGCGAATGTAAAAATGTATAATAATTATTATTAATAAATTGGTTGTGGTCTATATATTTTTAATATTTTCTGTATGAATGTTATCTCGCTCGTCGTTGTCAGCATCTGTAATAATAAAATAAAAAAAATATTATTTACGAATATCTGTTAAAATGAATGTATGTTCGAATTTAGAATCGAGAAAGTACTTTAAATGGTTTAAAATATCATAAATTCCATTTACAATACATATTTGAAAGAAGTCTGTAATATATTTTATGATCAATAATTCATAGAATCTCTCTCAATTGAATAATCCATAGAATAATATTTACATATTTGTTCTTACCAGAAAAATAAACCAGAATTTTTTTCGTATTTTGTTTATCTTATTAACACATAAGATGAACGATGATATAACATTTAAACGGAATCAATTTCTAGTCCGCCCACTTCTTTGAATAAAACACCCTTTGAAAGAATTTAAACGAACATCAATTTCCCCCTCTTCAAGCTGAAAGAAAATTGAATAGTTAGGAAAAAAAAATTTAAGAAATGTTTCGCAATATAAATGATATATAATATATATAATATTTAGTTACCGGATCTGTTATGTACAATTCTCTGTAGCATGAGGGAGAAACGCATTCACGGACGCATCGAGTTCGTGATAATCCATTCATCTGGTTGCAAGCACTGCTCTGTTCGCAAGCCGTTTCAAACTCTCGAAATATCATCTCCTGAGAAAAATTATAATATTATATTAAAATAGCACAATATGTAAATATGAATATTTATATCTTACATTTTTAGCTGAATCCTTGTATTGGTATTCTTTAAATGAAAATGTAACACTATCTTTATCACTCACACATTTGGTGACGAAAAAAACGCTTATGATGAAATTAATTAATACTGATCTTTCATACATATTGAATATAATAATGGTTTTCCTTGTTTTTATAATGTAGGTATGTGCTTATCGAAATCAATGGAAAGATAACTTGTTGAAATTTTTATTAGGTTTCCTGCGCGCGCATCACTAACGAAACCCAACTAGTGTGGCAACGATTAAAATTATTCTGTAAGAATCATATTTGAAAATAATGAATGGTAAAATATCAATCCTATAATTTTACCTTCTTAAAATCGGTAACAAATTTTAAAATTAAATTACATTAAGTGACACTATGTACCGATTTTTCGGTTAATACCGGTTTTCACTATCGACCAAGAAAAAATTAAATGTCAAGTGAGTGTTGTTTTAAGCCATAGGGTTTGTCAATGCCCAATGTAGTTGTATAAAACCTTCGATTTGCACGAAACCTCTTTATCAATTCACTGTTTACAGTTGTTACGTTTCAGTATCCTTTTGTATAAAAATATTAGTGTTATATCGTGTTCTGTGAGTGTTTAAAGAAGGAAGTTGGATGTTACCATACGTCGAAATAAAGTGATCACAATTTTTCCAATTTGGTACGTAATATTTACAGATTTTCTTCTCTTATTTTTGCTTTTATCTCGAAGCATATTGGACAAAATAATGAAAAAAGATATTTTCTTGCTTTATAGTGTTCGCAAGTTGTGAAAGCTGTTCTTTGTGTTAAGACATTGAATATATTCTATCGTTTATAAAATTCGCTTGTGATAGTTTAATATAATATTAAAGCTTCGTTTAGTTCTTAAATATGCTATTGTCCTATACGATAACAATAATGAATTAGAAAAAAATCTATAGCATGAAAATTGCTTACGTAAATATCATATGATATAAAATTATTTTCATAAAATAATTTATCATTTAATTATAATCGAAAATAATTTTATTAATTACTGATTGTGTTAATTAACATATATACATATATGACATAATATAAAACTATAACAAACAATTGTATGATAAAAAACATGAATAAAATCTAGTTCATGTTGTTAAAGTGAAAGATTTTCAAGTTTGAGGGATAGTGACCCAAACACCAGTGCAAGTTTAGTGCAAGTGCACTCAGCTATTACACTCTACTCCATTTTCAACTATATTTTCATGTGATAAAGTTTATTTTTGCCCAAAACATTCAGCATTAGTCACTGAAACTGGATTTCATCACATTGAATTCCAAATTTTATTCCGAATGTTATAGAATTGATTATTGTCCGTATAATCATGTGATTCTGCATGATTATTTTTTGTAGGGCATTTTTTGTCATGTTAACGTTATTTTGTGTTAACTGGCTGTTTTAATTTTATTGCAGTCGTTGTTTGGATTTCTGCTTTTTTATTATTTACTTGGGCTGTATACATCTGAACATAATTAATAATTTTGTATGAATATTATATAAAATATAAATTAATTCATAAATATACATTAATTAAGATGTATTTGATCACTCATACTGTGATTTTGAGATGACTTATCTGTACTGAAATTAACTGCTTTTTCAATACACATATATATGAAAACTATGATATCTTATATATTACAAGCTAATAATAAATAATATTACTATGAAATACAATCAAAAAACCTTAACAAATATATCTCATTAAAATCCAAGAAAAAATATGCATTTTGTTTGTATGAGTAAGTAAATACGGGGTTTGAAATTATCTTATCAGAATTATTATCAGTGATAAATATAATTAATTCATGTATATTCAAATATCTTATTGAAATTTGTCGTTTCAGACACACACACACACACACACACACAGACACACATATACACACACTCACACACATATATATATTTCTGTATAATTTGCTATCTTCAATCTCATTTGGTACATTAATATGATATTTCAAGGCCACTTATATACCTTAAAAGATATAAAAATTGCAATTATCATACTACATTTATCTTTATATAACTTTTTTTACCTTTTTCATATATCTTTTATATCTTTTACATTTTCTGTTTACAGTTATATTCATATGTTATTAATTTTAGACCTCATTATCGAAATTATATGTGTTTGACCTCATTAATAATAATCACTTCAATATATCGAAAACATGTTTGTAATTGCATTATTAAATAATATTATTTATAATAATTATGTTTTATTGTATTTAAATATTTAAAAATAGTTTATATATTTTTTTTGGTAGATTTAATCTTATTCAGCCTTACTTTTAATGATATAATCTATATTAAAAATTTAAAGAAATTTAATACAAATGTCTTTTTGGCGTTAATTTATTAAATGTCAAATACTTTCACAGATACAAAAAAATATTTTATTAATAATATGTTATGCAAAAAGGTTTTATTATTGATTAAATCAATATAAAATAAAATACATTATTGCAATAATAATCCTAATGTTTTCACAATACTTATAGAATGCGTCAAACTTGTACTTGCCTTTGTATAAGTTTATATAAGTACATTTGTACTTAAACAATTGTGAACCAGTATTTTATTTCTTGCAACCAATAATAGAACTTATTGTAATGCGTTATGGTTTATTCTCTGTTGTTTTTCGTTTGCAGTGTATTTGCTTTTAGTGCATCAAGTACGCATGTACTCGTCGGTGCAAACTGTTTAACTGTTGTACCTTATTTACTGAGTGATAAAGGTCATAATTGTTATATTAAAGTGTTTACCGAAGCCATAAATTTCGATCTTATTCCTTTGTAATAAGTATCAAAATATATTTTTAGTTAGTGATTACTGTGTGTTTATAAATACCAGTTTTTGATGGCACGGTGTATGTCTGTTACCGGTTAATTAATATAATTCGTGTTCAATTTATTTATGATTATTATTTTTATTATAGAAAAAAAGTTTTTTATCGACCGGAAGTCAGTTTCGCAACTGTAGATATTTGGTATAATTAGCGGCGGGAAATTAGTTTTATTGTTTGTTAATTATTTTATAAGGCTGTGTGGAATGTTCTAGAATCTACATTCTATATGTTTGTTTGTTTTGATTTGATTGTCTAGGGTTTAATTTTATCTTGATAGTTATTGTGATATTTTTCCAAGTATTAATATTAAGCTGTTAAGGTCTTCCAGTAGTGTATTCTTCAAGATTGAATGTATTTAGAGCTGTAGACTATAGCGCTTTCAATTTCCGAGCTATAAAATATGTATGAAGATTTTAAATACTGATATTTGACGAGAAAACTAAAATAATTGTTTTGCAAGAAAGAACTACGTTTTTTAAGAGCTACATTTGATATCATAATCGGGAATCGTTTTTAATAAGATGTAATTTTACTTGTCTGGTAATAGTTAATAAGTTAACACTTATTTAACAGTTGTAAGCAGTTGAGAACTACAAGGCTGGTGAACAGTGTGGTGATGATGAACGGCGGACCAGAGGTGAGGGTAGTTCTCGATCAGTCGGTAGTTTTAGAGGAATTCCCTCATTTTTAGTAAAAACGAATGTTTTTTTTGTAATTCATCGTTGATTTATCAGTTTTTTATGGCTTTTGGCGATGATCGAAATGTTGTGTTGCTGATTTCAAATCGGTGGTTTCCTTGATATTGAGTATAATATTGTCTTCGTCTTTAGTGCTTCAATTATTTAATTTAATTTTTTATGGCTTATTCATAAGACGTAAGAATGATCTTGCATGATACTGATTATACTTATACTATTTGTCTGCATATTTTACTGAAAAAGTAAATGCATGAACCTCTTATGTACTAGCTTCAAATATTTTGTTTTATTACAATATAAAGATGTGTTATCCTTTCGCGAGTATTCATTTAGGTAAAAGTAGTATTTAGGGATTTTAGTATCAGTTTTTTTTTAATTATTTTACAATTCATACCGCCGATGTTTCAGTTGTTTTGAAGGAACCATGATCTAAGGCAGTCAAAATGTCATCTTTTCTATTCGTGATCACGGTTACTTCAAAGTATGTAGTTTAAAATATAAAAAAAAACGGGTAGTATATCCGAAAATATAAGTTTTATCTATTACAATGTATTAGAGAAAATAATCGACAATGTACCATCAAGTAGATATACGAAAGTTTTTCAATCCTTTTTCATATTCTTTTATTTATACATATTAAATAATTTAATACATATAAACTATAGAAAAATATCTTTATAGAGATCGACTTGTACGGCCCATAAGAATCTGCAATGCAGGTCCCGCATTGCATAGGTACATATGTTAGTGCATAGAAATTCAAGAAACCTTTGTACACAGCTTTTGATATTATGATTTTTTTTTAATATTAATATTGAAAAAGAATATATTTCTTCTTAAGAATGCCGCAAAAATTTCTCAGAAGTACTTCTAGAAACATGATTCATATTTTGGCTTTTAAATTATAAACTATTATACTATGTATTGGAATATACACATAAGTATATTTATATAAATTTTCCTAAACTTGCTTTGATCATTATATCTATAGTATAAAAAAGTATTTAAAAATAAAACTCTTAATATATTTAAAATCTTGGTTTGGTTTTTCTAAGTACGTGTGATCATTTTTTGTTTTAAAAATCACGTGTTAGAAATATAATCTTCATAACGACGTTATGTATTTGTTTTTACATAGTTTTTTTCCTGCATTATATATCAAGGCTGTTATTGACAGTGAATTCAATGTAAAAGAATAGTTTGACCTTAATATGGCACTTCACTTTTTTTACGTTTTATTCGTCTTCATTTGACATATTTGGACAAATAAAACACATACACAAATAAGCGAAAACGCATAAAGACGTTGTTGGCATGCTAAGTGTGGATGCCGTGTTTGCGCTATTTGGACTACGTACAAATATTTGGACAAATACGTCAAATACGCAACGCGAATACGCAAGACCAAGTGAAGTGCATTTACATTTATAATAGAAATACATTTTGGTACCTTCCTATCATCTAGTTCTTTAATTTATGTATGTTTGTGAAAATTGACGATTTTGTGTCCAAAAAAGTGATGAATGCTGTCAGCTGATTTGGTTT